CAGAGGATCTGTCCACCCCGGGAACTGCTGCCAGTTGCCTCTGTGTCCGCAGCCTCAATTAACACTTATCTACTAGAAATGCTGTCAGACCTGAATGAGGATGTGGTCCCAGCTAGTGAAATGTTAATATGTAGTGTGTACAAAAATGTTTTCTACACAAACAGCAGAAGAAATATGCCGACAATGGCCGTTAGGGGGTACAGTCTAAATGTAATGTGTTTGATCTAAAATGTGTTTGTCCTACAGCGGCCACCATAGCTAGGCTTATGCACTTAGATTGGAAGGTGTAAGAATACTGCAATCTGCACTCTACTGACATCTAGCAGTTTTATTTTACACACAAGTTGTCTAAAAAAGAATATTCTGTAATGGCCACAAGTTTATTGTTAACACAAAGGATAACAACAGTTCATCTAAGGGTTTCTGATAACGAAGTCCAGGTTCCAGGCAGAGAGGCAATTCTACGTCAGAATCTCTGTCAGAACAAGAAGCCTCCAGATGATCTGCACAGAAGGAGCATCAAGGTAAGTAATTTATGATGGATGAGCAGACCAAAACAACAACAAGCAAGGGAGCCAGCTTTAGTAACTGTTGTTAGTTCAACAATCCAGCAAAGACTGAACTTAAACAAGACAAACTACCACCTTAAGTGGTGGCCAGAGAGGAGGTGACTGGGAACAGGTGAGCTCATTGCCTCTGGGTGTGTGAAGCCAGGACATATTCATTTAAACTGTCTGTAAAAAGTCACAGATGATATGCTGAAATCAGTATGACACACCATCAGCTTGGTAGCATACTGACAGTAACCTTTATCAACATGTTATTATGGTAACTACTTAATTATCAACTAGCATAAGGTTGAGGCTGAGGTTGAGGCTAAAAAAAAAAAGAGCTAAAAGAAGCTAAAAAAAGAGCCCATTTGTATATTTGGCTATTGGAAAAATGATGAAACTGCAAATAAGCCAAAGAGATGTGTACCTAATTTTATGGCATGATATTGATTTTTTTTTTTAAGTGAAACTGATGGAACAACAGGTGCAGGAAAGGCTTCAGGCAAAAATCTTCTGGAAGTGTCCCGGAACGTCTGCAAAAAAGCAATCAATGCAATGGTTGTTGATATAGTTCAGCTGAAACTGTTAAACTGATCAGCCCACAGACTGCTGTCAGCATGGTTAACAATCAATATCCCAGACGTGTCCATTCCACACAAAAGTGTTTATTTTTCAATTGCTTGCAATTATTTTAATCATGCAGAAGAGATTCCATCAATAGCTCCAAATCACAGAAATGTGGGAGTCTCATTTGCCATTAAAATGAAGTTACCTCAGGGCATAACCACTCTTGAGGCAGCTGACTGTTCTGAGAAAAACTGATTCACTGTTTCCTAAGTAAACTTGAGCTTAACCTTTAGAACAAAGGGCGCAAAGCAGTGATGCCCAGTAATGCTTCACAGTATGCTATTGGTAATCAATGTGCCTATTGCTCTGCTTCTTCTCTCTCTTGCTTCACATTTCACCCTGTTTCAGACTGACAGTGACTGCCGTGGGCTCATGAAACTAAGTACAAGCTCCCGTGGTTGATTCTATGTCGCAAACACACTCACACGATATAACATAAGGCACCATGTCAGGTATTGAATAGTCAATGCTGCAGAGCGGAGCAGAACCCTTGGTTGTTCATGTGTGATAGTGCTGCTGCAGAGGACCCAGCTGGCTCCCACAGAGCTACATCACTGTGAGTGTGTGTGTGTGCATGAGAGTGAGAGAGAGAGAGAGCAAGAGAGAAAATATGTATGTCAGAGACATGATTGCATGTGTGTGTGTGAGAGAGAGTGTGTGTGAGTGTATACCCCTGTCAGGTTGAACAAATTCACTCACCTGTGACGTCCTCATTCTGTCTCTCTGTACAGCATCACTGAGAGTTCTCCTCTCAAAGGCCCAGGAAACACACACACACACACACACTGATATCAGCCACGGGCAGGTGTTTGAGATCACTGACTTCTGAAGAGGATTTCACCTATGGCAATTTGAATGCATGCCATGTATTTTCACCTAAGTAATGAAAGCTCTCCCTAGCTCTCAGTCGTGTGTAAAGTCAGAGAAAAAGGCAAGGAACAGAAAGATGGGTGGAGGGAGCGTGTCACACAAGTGTGAGAGGGAGGAAAAAATGAGCTGGGCGTGGAGCTCTCTATTTGTCTTTTCCTTTAGAGTTGTGCAGTGACTCTTCAGTTTTTCTGGGGCATCACAGCCTGAGCTTTGTTAGAATGACAGTGATGATAAATCCTGCAGGACACAAACTCCCACATACTTCACTGGAGACACTACTCTGATGATGTAAAGCTGCATTCTTCCATCTAGTGGTCACATATGTACGCACACTCATACGTTTGTGCACGTGTGCAGTGAAAAGCCAAACCTCATGTGCTCAGACTCACACACGTAAGGCACTGGCCTGCACTTAGAGCTGGAAGTAAGCATGATATAAAGATGACTTTCACTTGCTTATATCACTGCAAGCACTGTAAGCTGCATTTAAATAGCAAGCACCAAATCCTCAATTACATCTGGGAATGTTTCCTGACAGTGAATGGCAGATGGAATAATCTTAGGTCTGAAGATGTTCTTAGATCTTCGATCTGCATGAAGAAGATGTATCTGCTCCAATGAACAGAGAAGAGCTGCATGGGGACTAAAATGTTTATTCTTTTTTGAGGTACAACAGTTTCTATGCACATTTGTAAAACATGGTGGAGGCTCTGTCAGGGTTTGGCATGTGATTGACAAAGCATGTGACAATCCCTTAATTTTTAATTGTGGCAACAATCCCAAACAGTTCTGCAATGCAGTAAAGGCATGTCTGAATAGAAAAATCCATGAGTGGAACACTATCAGACACCAAAGTAGCTAAACTGATTAAAAGCCCCCACTGCTACTTAACTGGACAGATCAATATAGAAGTTTAATTGATGTGATTAAAAGTGTTCCTTTATTATTTTGAGCAGTGTATTTCTAACATGTAAGTAAACTAGAAACTAGTATTTTGGTGTGTATGACAGTTTTGTACTAACTTAAAACATCTTTGCTTTAAAAGATTATCAGATATTTGTAGTGCAACTTTTCTGAAATAATTAGGCAAATTTCTATCCATTGGTCAAATGTGGGAAATGAAATCCTACAAATTGTCTCGCTGGCTGTTTTTGTCAGTCAGAATGAGTTTTCTTGATTTACAGCCAAAACATGTAAATTACACATCACAGTTCATCATTTTATCAGCAGACTTGTGAGTCCTGACCTGCGAGTGAACCTGCAAGTGAACTGCTGGCCTGTTGACTGGTTGTCAACAGCCTCCTTGGGGACTAATGTCCTGGCAGGAGTTGCATCCCACTTTGAGGACAAATGTGATGCTAACCATCTCTCCTCTGCCAACACCCATTGCTCATCAGCTGTGTGTGTGTGTCTACGTGCAGCAATACCAGTTGCCATGAAAAATATGTGAAAAACAGGTGTGTGATATGTATGATTGTATTTGCATTCAGTATGTGGGTGTGTACACTTTTGAGACTCATTCGAATTCATGAGTATGTATGGAAAGAGTGTGCGATGAACGCATTTCTGATGGTCTGAATGAAGAACACAGCTGCCACTTGACACGGCAATTATGCCATTAGCTTGATGATTGGCCTGCATGCATCACTGTGACCACTCCCTCTCTCTCTCCCTCTCACACCCACACTGTAATCATGTGAATTTGCATGTAAAATTCAGTTGCATTTACTGAACTCATCACTTCTCAGATAAATCCCACAATCCACAATGCTGTATTTATTTATTTTTATTTTAACCTTGATGCTTATAATTTCACGATGACTGTAAATTAACAGATGGGCAACCACCCAAACACCACAAACCAGAAACAGATGGATATTTGCAACTTTCCTCCTTGATTTATTTTATTTTATTATGTTTTAGTATTTACTCCGTTATACAACAGACAACTGAATGAAAACCTTAATTCTACTCTGCATACACCCCACCCCCCAAAAAGGGCAAGGGTTATACTAAAACGTTGATGTTTTATGACATTTTTATTACAACATGCTGACGTTAGCTGCCTTTTATAACATCACCCTGATTTCTGACCTTTGGCCTATGACCTTGAAGCTTTACATAATAAAATTGTGTATTTTTTTTTTTTTATCTTTACCCATATGACTGGAGCAGGCCCGGCTGAAATCTTTCATTTCTATAAGCTGTAAGATTTTAAGATATATTATTGCCATGTGGGATTTTGATAAATTTTATGGCATCATTGTGACATTGTAGGGTGTTGTACTGGAAAAAGCCTTGGCACTGTTGTGAAGTTTTAAGACATAAAGTGTTGTGGGTAATGTAACGTTTTTACTGATTTTTCACATTTGGTGTGACATTCAACTTCACGTTGACCAAACAGCTCAAGCTGCTTTTGGTATCCACCGTCACAAAAATCTGATATCATAGAAACTGTGGACGCTCGGCCGCTAACAAATATGCAGGCAGACATACAAGCTGAAGCAGTTGCACGCTGATCGTTGCTTCAGCATCACAGTTTATTGGTGGGAAATGAAAACAGGCTGCTTCATTATAGACGATGACTGCTTACACTGCATTAGAGGCTGTGTAGGTGGAGATCTACTATAGATACTCATTTTGTTTCATTTATTTGTGTAGCCTGGACGCTGGCAGAGATTAAGTCATGAGCTCAATTAGATCTATGTCATGTTTACTCACAAAGACCTTCCTAATGATGTGCGGTACTTTACTGATAGCTCTGCTTTCGTAACTGGCATTTATTGCTCAAATAAATCAGACATACATTACCGGAAATAATAATAATAATAATAATAATAATAATAATAATAATAATAATAATAATAATAATAATCTGGTAAATCTTTTAACAACCCGAATACCTTAGTTGAGATTTTTACGACTGACGTCACCGCGCTTTTTACGGCTCCGCACGACGTCACCACGCATCTCTTCCAAACAATGCTCAGGAAAAAGCCACGTTGACGATCCAGACTTGAGTGTAGTCCACATTTTCAGGCAGAATAAAGCGGGAACAGCTTTAAAATTGAGGCTCAGCTCGGTTTCCGCAGCAGACCCCCACATCTGAGCAGGCAGCATGTCATCGCCGCCGAAGGAGAAAATCGAAACCAAAGGCGGTCATCTCCCTGCAGGTAAAGCTCCCTGTGCTGTGGTGCTGGGGGTGGGTTTTTTTAAGCCTGTTATGAATCTGAAGGCCTTTTGTTTGTGCAATGTCTCAGATCAAAAAAAGGAGAGAAAAGATCACATGATGGTGATGATTAATACTTATGCAACCCTTACACTGGCAGATGCCTTAGACTATAAATCGTCTGTGGTGTCCAGATTGCGTTTAGAATAATTTGCCGTAATTGTCTTTCGCACATTCCCCTACTTCCTGATTTGCGTGGGCTCTTGCAACATCACATTGCTGACATTGTAGCGATTGGTGAGGATCGCCGGCCCTTTAGAAAGGGTTTAGTTTCATTGTTGCCGCTAATAGCTGCTCAATGGCGGGCGGTGACGTGGAGGCCATGGGCTCGAGGCTTCAGCCATGTAGGCTGCACAGAAACGGGAAAAGGTGTACGTGGACATAAGCAGTAGCAGGCAGGGCAGTGGGCCACAGCAGCTGCAGGACTGATAACACAGTAAGATAACCAGTGCACCTCGCACCCAACCTGTTATCAGCGGGAAGCTCACAACACACTCATTAACTTGTAGTGTGTGAGGCTGTCCGAGATCAAGGACAACCACAGAACAGTCGTCCAGCAACTGCTACAACCGACCTCTGTGCAAGTCACAGACATGATTATGTCAGCATTAAACAAAATTCTTAAAATTCATTTATTTTTGCTTCTTCAAACGCTGGCTATAAAGTCAAAAGGCCCAAGTCACCTAACTCTCCAAACACAACTAAAGTGGCTTTTTAAATCTATTTAAATTTCCTGTTTTGATAGTGAGACCTTGGACAAATTCTTTCAGCTGATCTGGCAAATCACTGCATACGTGTTCTGTCTCTCTGTGTGTGGGTGTGCTCCAGTAAAGGCAGGCGGTATGAGGATAGTGCAGAAGCACCAGCCAACTCCTGCTCCAGAACCACCGCAGAAAGATGACAGCGAGGAGTACATCAGCAGCAGGTAACGCGCTCGCTTTAGAGAAAGACCCGAGCAGTCGAGCCATCGCTCGGGTAGAGGGATCTCTTGAGGTGACTGTAAACCACAGAAAGTCAATCAAAGGACCATCGAAACCACCACAAAAGACCTACAAAGAGACGAAAATGGCAGAAGATATGTGCGACGCAGCCACAGTGACGCATAGCGGCAGGCAAAACAAATACAGAGATGAAATGACTGCACAGATATGCAAAAACTAAGCATTGTGCAGGCAAAATGAAAGATGAAAGTGCATGATAAGACACTAAAGGGCTGCACGGGGATTCAAGATGAAACTAACGTGCAGTGTTTCAGTGGTGAAAGGCTTTGTCATATCATGTGTTTTTTAAAATAAAACCTAAGTACACACATATCTGTTAGTCTGTGTGCAGCCTTTAACTGTGGTGATTTGTAAATTGCTAATCACAAACACGCTCTGCAAATTGCCAACCAAGGCATTTAGCGGCTTTCGCTTTTCCGTAAGGCTGTACTGTAGGCAGTTCCGCGGCAGACTTTTCATGTGTTGTCGCCAGCTAATTCAGTAAACAACATAATTACTGCATAATTACAGCATTAACTCGAACAGCCTATTCAGCAGTCGCTATTGTTTTGCCATAAACAGGCTCGGTTTTAATGTTTTACATCACGCTGGCTCTGTTTGCGAGAGACAATAATTGTTCCGTCTCCGCATTAGCATGTTCGTCTTTTGTTGCTTGAATTGCATTGCTTGTGCTGAGGTCTCTCCGCTCTGCAACGGCGTCGTTGCAAGTTGCTCCTTATTTTCCGGGTAGCTGCGTGTGTCTGTCTTTGAATCTGTGCTTGTACACTCTCCTACATCTCCTCAATATTCACAAGGGTACGTCAGCTGTGTGCGTATCAGCACAGGTGGCATATTCTCACCACATATCTGTGTGTGTGTGTGCGTGTGTGTGTTAATAAGAGGTGGTAAATGGGAAGTGACAGGCAGTGCACAGCAGTGAGCAGGGTTCAAGAACATTGCCAACTGTCAGGAAATTTTCTGTGCACAACTTTCCACACGTACGCACACTAAATGACATATTGCATGGTCTTCATCGGCAAAGCTGGTTGGTTGAGTCTTTTCCTGTAATTCAAAGGAGGACTAGCATCAAGCCTGTCAGCACCAGTAAGTCATTTCCTGTTGCCGTCTTCTCTTTTCTGCCAAGATGACGGGTGGTAATAATAGAGAGGGCATTAAAGTTTAAAAATTGAGGCCAAGTATTTATCGCAAGTACAAAAACGCATGCGGACTGCGCTTTATACATGTTGTAGATGGTGATCGGCGCTATTCCAGCCTAACAACTATGTACTTCCTTAGTTTGTCATGTTGTTTGAGAGTATATAAAGACAAACTGCTTGTCACCGGTGCAGTGCAAAGGATCCTTTACGATTCTTTATCCAGTCCTATTTGCATCATCTCCTTGCATCGCATCATGACTTTAGGACTTGCACAGTTAGAAATACACAAACAACAATATCTGGAATCTGCAGGCAAATATCTGGAATTTGCCTGCAGAGCTTACAGTGTAGAAAGATCACATCTTTTTGCGCTAATTAGGAAAATGGAGCATTTTCTTCACCCTGCCCTGCCTGCTCTCGTCTTTTTTAAGTGCAGGTGCACGTTCTTCGTTGTGATCTAAAGATTACCTGTCAGCACATCTACAAAAAGAGAGGCAGAGTAAGTGCACTCACTAAATACAATCAGTGCAGCTCTCGGTCACACGCACTTCTGTCAGTCCCTCTTTGTGTCACGCTGATGGACGTCTAGCAGGTGGCTACTGGGTAAATTTTGTATTAGTTGCAGCCAGTGGAGCGTTTTAGTCGGGGGAACACCTGCCTCTCCCAATCTAGCTGAGATGGACAGATGAAGCAAGGAAAGAAATAGGTGGCTGGGATTATGGAGAGGAGAGGATTAGGATAGGAGGGGATTATTATTGTATGGTAAGGGGTGCTGTGGCAGTATGAAGATAGGAAAAAGGACAGGTAAGAGATGGAGAAGGGGTGGAACGAGTGGAAAAAGGCCAGAAAGGGGAAGCAAAAGTTGGCCTCCGAGCTGGAGCTTCCTGCTCCATAATCGTGTGAAAGTTGTTCTCGTAAGCCATCAGGAACCACTATGTAAAACATTCAGCTACAGTGTGATGTACATTACAAGAGTAAGAGAAGCAGAGAAGTTTAATAGGGGTGGAAAAAGTGCCACTTGGCGCGTTACGAACTTCTTGCACATCTTTTGGATGGGACTCTCAGCTGAATGTCTATAAACCACATACAAGGAGGAAAGTCGGCTTTGCGTCGGCTGCACTACAGGTTGTGGTGAGAGGGGGATATGTTCCAGAGACTCGGAAAAAGATCGACTCAGTCGCTGCACACATACACTGTATGCAGGAGCTGTGGTGAGACGTGCAGTAGGTTGACAGCTCACGGTGAAAAGTTGAGAGGAGAGAGAGGGAGATAAGGGGGAAGAGGAGGGAAGATGGGCAACAGGCATTAGTTTCTATGGCAACCAGCACCTCGCCCACGGCAACAAACTTCCTGCTCTGCTGAAGCAGAGAGAGAAATGGGTGGGGTAGAAGTAGCAGTGGCTTTAATGCTTAAAAAATAAAAAGGTTAAAGAAAAACATCACGCAGATGGATTATTGCACATTTGACTTAACAGTTGAGATTTCTGACTCTCCGTCACTCTTTTCCTCCCCTGTTCCTCTCTCTATTTCCTCTAACTCTTCCCCTCTCCTGGCACTAAGCCTCCCCAAGATCCCACGCAGCTCTCTACTGCCCCCTGCAGACTCATCCTGCCTGTGAACGCGGCCACATTCCTCCTGCGCACAGAAAACCAAAAAAGAGGTCTTTGTCACTTTTGATTTCTCCTTCTCTCTGCCCTCCTGTCGTTCCTCTTCCCCGTGCAGATAGAGTAGATTACAAAGGTGTCAGTAGTCTAATCTGAAGGATAATGCTTTTGTGCGGTATCTAGATCAAGGATTCAGGGCTTGCCATGGTGTGGTTTTACTAATCTCTGATTAATAAGTCTTAAACTGAATGACTGTTATCTGTTTATCAAGTGTGACTAAAACCTGTCATTAGTGTTTGTCTGCAGCTGGTGATTATGCAGTGGCTGCAGACAGCTTGCAAATTACAGGAAAAATCGGAACTCTTGGCCCTGCAGTGAGGAGATCCGAGGCTGGGAGAGGCATTTGTTGGCACGGTTTAGGTCTGCTTGTTCCATTAGAGGGGAGAGTTGCTTAAAATCAATACAGAGCTGTTGCCTGTGATCACCTTTATGCTCTGATGCAACATGTCTATCTGGAAGGGAGTAGTCTCTTCCAGAATGGCAACACTCCCCTTCACAGGGCACCAAGGGTCAGCGCGTGGTTTGATCGTGGTTTTTCCCGACTCGGAATTGACATTTGGGTGGGTTGCATGACTTCGGATGTAAGCACAGTTGGCGCACTTACAGGAAAGGCGATGAGTCTACATTGCCTGTTATTTATGACCATTTGATTAAAATATACGTTGTGCATGAGAAAATCAAACCAATATTAACAATTTTAATGAATTATCTTTGAATTTGGCTAAAGCTTTTTTGAGTTGGTCCACAAAACAAAACAAAAAAGCTGAAGTAATCTGACTTGTACGGTGTTGCCTTAACAGTCACCAGACTGGAGAAGACCTCCGCCGTAATCAAATGAAAGAATATCGTTTGGTAAAACATGTCCCATCACCAGAAAACGAGTGCCGAGGTGGATTTAAAGTGTTCTGGTAGCAACATATTGGCCAAGGATCTAGGAAAAAAGCCACATTCCAGATGTGAGCATACTCCCAAGGAGAAAAAAAACAAAGTTTTGTGTGTTTAGCCAGTTGAGCGAAAAGCTTATTTTTCTTTGAGTCCGATCAAAAACAAAACTCTTAAGACCTGAAGGAGCCAAATGCTTGACTGTTTTACAGCTTAACCCCCCACCACCACTCCCAGTTTGTCTAGACATGTCTTATCTGTCTGCTCTCTGTTGTTATGATGCCCTGATGCCAGGAGCAAGAGACACCCTTTGAAACAATATCCTTAATTCTATGCACTGACCTTTCTCTTAAATCAATTTTTTTCAAATATCCCTCACTTTATTGTCTGTTGTATAATATTTCAGGATTTCACCTCAAAGTGCACATTGGAGAGGGACACTCAGTACAATAGAGACAGCTCAGCATGAGTCCACACTGTGTCACTATATGAATACATATCCAACTGAGCATTGCTATTCAAGTCAACCCAAGTGTTGCATCTGACTGTCGCTTCAGATGAGCCAGAAGGGCTAAAACAACTCCTGTGCATATGTTACATGTTTTTATTTCTACGTCTATAAATAGAGTTAACATCCAGGATAAACTGTTTGAGATGATCTTCTGAAAAGCACTTTTTCATCTTCACTTGCTGATTTACCCTCCACCTGCTCCCCAGCTAGCCTTAAAAAAACCTAACTAACTTGGTGTTGATTAGAATAAGGAACACTTGCGGTGCTAATGTGCTACGTTTTCAGTTAATTGAATTGCTAATAGAGAACCTCTCAACCTCGCTTTTTGACAAGTGGCTAGCATGGCGTAATCAATGATATTCGACGTATCTAGGCGTTAATGTAATACCGAGGTGTGAATTTTCTCATTAAGATGAGTGCCTAGATGTAGATCGGTAAATCCGATGTTTCACAGATGTGTTGGAAATCTGCAACTGTTAATTGGAAAAGTTGTGCGCGAATCATAAAAAAAAAAAAAATTTAAATAGAAAGGAGCAGATGGGTTGAAAATGTTTGTATTTTGACTGCTGAGGCTGCAGTTTGAAGTGTGTGTCCAAAACTTTTCATCTTTTTTCAATCTAAATTAGGCCGGTAATGAGGTAAGCTGTAAGCTGGACATGCTTGCTGCTATAGTTAATGTCCTTAAGTGGAGTTTTGAAGGTGGCTAACTTGACTGCACTTTTAGCCGGAGGGGTGACTATGCCGTAAAATTAGACGGCACTCGTTTGTCATGTCAAGGTCGATACTTACCTCGGGTTCCGCATTCCTCCTCCTCATCTTTTTCTCTGCCTCCATCCCTTCCCTCCATGTCTGAGTGAGCGCTCGCCTGCCTCTCTCCTTCATCCTCTTTTACTCTCCTCTAACAGTTTGTTATTATATAGGTATTTCACTCCCTGGGTCTCTCTGTCCTCTTTCTCCTCCTCCTTCTACAGTACTTTACCCCTCATCGCCTTTCTTTCCTCCCTGTCCTCACTTTTCTCTGTTCTCCTTTTTCTCCTCCTCCCTAAATCTTTTTTCTTCATCTTCATCACCAGGCTTCACTTTAGCTCTCTTTCTCTTTCAGGGGTTTAGTTTTCTTACTCCCTCCTCCCTTCCCCTCTTCCTTTCCATTAGAAGCTGTGAGCCTCAGTGTTTGGCCAGAATGAATGGGAGCTATTTAAGCTGCTGGCAGGTCCATCCGGGGTGTGTAGTATGTGTGTGTGTGTGTGTGTGGGTAGGTAAGTGGGTGGGTAGGTGTTGTAGGTTTTTGGCATCTTTGGGATGTTCCTTATTTATTTGATGTAGGCAAACTTATGTAAATGTTGGCATAAACTATATGCAGACAGCTGTGCTATTGACCTGTTTTTAAAAAAAATCCTTTCTAATTTCTCTTTTCTGTCTCCTTTGTGTTTTTTTCTTTAAAGTCCACCGAGGGCCCCTGTGATTGTGTCTGGAGTGGTTACAAAGGTAAGACACACATTAATACAGACCACCAGTGGTGTTGAAATAAGCATTATAATGTGGTTTATATCTGGGACAGGGGTTCTACAGGGACCATAGAGGCTCAGCAGAACAAGACAGAGAGATGGGAGAAAAAGCAGGGGAGGGAAAGAAAATCGAGAAAATACTGGTGCCAAATGAGATGAGGGAAAAGTGGCTTATCTGTAATTTATGAATCTGGTTTAATAAAATGCGGTGCCACCGTGCAGCACCAAAACCTTCTGCAAAAAAGACCACAGAGTTGAAGCTGCTTCTCTGACACACTCCCAATCAAAACTGGAAATTGCAAGCTGCACATTGACTAGTAGTTCACTTTACTGCAAAATGCTGGGTATTAACCACATATGGCTTTAACTGCATCAGTGCCAGAGTCTGTTTAGGCTTTTACAGCCTTGACCTGCTGTTTTGAAAAGCAGGTGAAGGCTGTGAATAGCTGTTTGTGTTTAATTCTTTTGACTGTATGTGTGCGTGTGTCTGTGTGAAAAGTGTCCTTGACTGGCTGGATGGCTTCGTTCCCCGCTTTGTGTGTGTGTGTCAGACCAGGCAGATTGTTTGCGGAAGATTGCAGTGATATCAGAAGGTGGCAGGCATCCCATTTATCCCCCGATCCTCCTCTAGCCTTCCCATTTGCCCCTATCACTGCCATCAAGCCCAGAGGCTAGCAGTGCACAAAGCCTCAGAAAAGCCTTTTAAGAGTTAAGTGAAACACTTCAGTGTGTGTGTGTGGTCTCCAGAGAGTTCCCCTCCCCCCCCCCCCTTTTTTTAGCCTACAAAAAAATATGCCTTCTGGCTATGTACCTTCAATTTTTCATTCAGTAGCTGAATGTGTTTCTAAAATGCATTTTTTTTTATAATAGAACTATTACCAGGAAGTAAAGCATCTAAAGAAAGACTAGCTGAAGAAGAAAGTAGAAAAAAAGGAAGAAATACCATTACAGGTCGAGCAATTATTAAACGCCCAGAGTAAGTTTTTTTTTTCAGACTTTGTTTCTTCTTCTTACCTGTAATCAGATCACACCACAAAGTCTTTTTCTGTAGCACCCCCCTCCACCCCCAAGAACCTGTCCAAGTCCTGAAACTTAAGGTTTACACCAATAATTCCAATAATTTAGTAGCTTCCAGAACCAACTTTAGCAAGAAAACCTTGAAATAATGGTTTTCTGACTGACCATCAGTCTCTGAAATCATTGTTGAAGAACTTTTGGTCTTTGACATCTGCAGGCATTCAGTTGTGCACAGCTCTCTTAAGATCACGATGAGGTCTGGACCTCCTTGGGTCATTGCATCACCTTGATCTTTTCTTTTTCAGTCATTCTGTTGTAGATTTGCACCTGTGCATGACCCAGTTTTGACCTTCAGCTTTTGGACAGATGGCCTCACATCAGACTCTAGAATATACTCTGTGTACTTCAGTATACAGAGACGTTTATAGGTGACCCAGTGACTGCAAGGTGACCACGTCATATGGCTCCAAAACAAGCCCAAATCATCACCCCTCCAAATGATCACTGTGCTTGATAGTTGGCATGAAGGGTTCGCACTGATATGCTTTGTTTGGTTATCATGAGATGTGGTGCCATGCATTATGGCCAAACATCTCCACTTTGATCTCTCAGTCTAAAGGACATTGTTTCTCCAACATGAGAACAGGCCTTTTGGGCTTGATGATGTTTATTACAGACATTTTAATCTTTAATTCGATTAAATATCTGAAAATAGGCTACATTTTTGTTGATTGTTGGCATTGTCATTTTAAGAGATGCCAGTCGCCCTCACTTCTTTTCACAGCGTGTTGCAATAAGACAGTTAATTTGTTATATTCCCTCCTATACCTCTGCAGTAGGACAGAGGTATTCGTGGAAAAAGCTTTGAGCTTCAGAAGAGAGTGAAGGGTAATTGGAGGTTAATATCATCCACATCCCCTCGAGTCAACTCAGGAATTTTCTTTAAATAAAAGAAGTACACACATGCACACTTTGTTTGTGCGCCCACCTACACACAAACACCAGCTTGCTGGAAAACCAGTGCACAGCTACACGTGCGGTGAAAAAAAAAAAGCCCAACACATTAAGCAGAACGGATTAGGGTCAGGCGAGGATGGGGTGGGTGAGTAAAGTTCAGCAAGAAGCTCAGAAAGACAGGCTGTGTTTGTTTGCAGAGGGTTGATTAAAGGGGTTATATAAGTCCGTCCATGTGGACATCCTAAGAAATGAGGCTGTCAAGGAACCATGTCTGTTATTTATATGATGGCGTAACACTCACATATGGTAACATCTGGATGAACGAGAAGGCATCAGCAAATTGCCAGCTTAAATGAACGCAAAGATTTCAGATGGAAGAATTCAAATGGCCAGTAATCCAGTCAGTCACGCACACAGCAGTGGACTGTATGTGCTTTTCATTCTTACTTTGAGCGCTTAGTTTTACAGCTTTAATCGAGCTCACCAGCCACCATCAACCTATATAACTGTACAGTATATAAAATCTCCTAATCACACTCATGCCTGTGTGCAAGTGCAGTTTTATTGCTCAGAGAGCAAAGCACAAAGAGAAGGCAACAGCAGATGGAGCAGGTAGAAGAAACGGGACAAACTGAGCGAGAAACGAAACGCTGGCAGAGATAGAGAAGTAAGGAGTGAGGATAACAACAAAAGGAGGACGAAATCCAACTGTGATTCTCCCCTAAGTTGCTGATTAAAATTCTGTGACTTGATCCGATTTAGAGGAAGCAAGGCTATTTATGTGCATTTTTCTTGGAATAATAGATTAAACCTGGAGAGCAGATGAGTGCTCCATACTGTACCTGTCATGCATCTTCAGGGGGATCAGTGGGAAAGGATTTAAGGGTCCACATACTGTATTATTTCACGCAGGGATAAAGTACACAAACCTGGTTATGAACAGAGTTCTATACACACACATACATTTTTTTCAGTCTTCTTTAGATTGTATATGTTGTTTTATCCTTACACTACTAGCCTTGTGGCTTAGCTTTTCTTTTTGGTTCAACTTTGTCCTCCTTTGCTGTTTTTTATTTACTGTTTTATGTTTAGGGTGATAAGGACTTCACCCCAGCTGCTGCCCAGGTGGCCCACAACAAGCCCCTGCCTGGTGTCCCCAAGCTTCCCCCTGCCCAGCACATCAACCAGCACATCCACCAACCCCGCAAGTGAGCCAGGCACCAATCTACAACCAAGCCACCAAGCTACTAACTCCACCAGCCGGCCTTCCAAATGGAACAGATAGGATGAAGACGGTTCCCCACCAGGCACAGATCTCCTCTAAATAAAAAGAGAAATCATACATTTTGAGAAATTAGTCAGTAACGAGACACCTGAAGTCAGTAACGCTTCAGTGCAAGTCCCACTTTTAATACCACTGCTGCATTGGTGCCGCTCTAGTAGCTTTGCACTCTCCTTTTGAAGGATTATTTTCCACTTGAATAAGTCTTGAGGTGATGTAAACCGGTGAAGTCTTCTTGAATTGTTCTCTTCTCTCTTCTCAAAAAAAAGAAAATCAAGTATAAACAGAGAAACCGATCTCAGATCTGAGTCTGTTTGGGGAACTTTGACAGCATCCAGTTAATCACAGCAACCTATCAATCAGCCTATTTAACCCAACCAAGCCCACGATAGGATCCTTTGATCTTCACAAAAGAACCAATCAACAAGTCAGGAGGTGGATCCCTGTTTATCAACCCTCCAAACCAAAAAAAAACCTCACAGAAAGCAGCTTTTGAGTGTATAATTCAGCAGCTTTGACAAGAGAAAGTACGACTAGCAAATTACATGACAGCAATAACCAATCGTTAGCGCATTAGTGCTTAATTGCATTCCATTTGACCTTGTCAACATATTATATATTAATGGTAGAAATGTCTAAAAGAATAAGCGATGTAATGTTTGATTGGCCTTCATTTGAAATTTTTGAATATATTTAAATATTACAGAAATGTTTGCTGTAGTGATGCCATTACCCAAGAAGCTTTTTGCTTATGCTTGATGTCATCAGTCAAAATGCTGACGAAGCTTCTGAGCCACAGTCGAACCTGTTGAGCTTTTATCACCGTTTCCTCCCAGTGTGACCGTTCTTACCTTTATTTAACAGAAAGGAGCCCCTCACAGTTGTTATCAGCCTCAGCTGTATCGGTATTTATCGTTTCCCAAAAACGTAACCTGTTCACAGTAAAACTCTACCATCGGTGCCTCGTCGCTGAGATTTTGAAGATGCGCAGGCTCATCGGTCTCATGTTTATTTGTTGCAGAATGAAAGTGCAGCGAAATATGTAATGAAACTTAAAGAGTAGCACCGGCTGCGGGATGCTCTGTGACTGCATTAACATTAGCCCAGATATCACAAGGGACTTAATTACAAGGGGAACAAAGCATTACAGAGAAGCAGTCGAGCAAAGAGCGAGGCATTAAACTGTCAGATGAAGGTGAAAATGGGAACATTAAAGGAGAACAGCACAGGTGTAACAAAAAAGAGCAGTTTCTACATTCCATACAAAAAGCGTCGAAGCAAAGACATTTCAACCACGCGACTGTTTATCGGCGTACGACGAAGATGCAGCGCGTTTGTCGTTACATGGCTCAACGCGTGTCAGAAATGTGTACAACCTCCCGAAACTCCAGATTGGGTTTCCCGAGAGCGATATGCTTTAATACACACAGACACACACAAACACACAACACCCTTTTCCTTAAAACCCACTTGCGCTCTAGTGTTATTTGTTGCAACACTAATGTTCAGGTTTCCAGGAAAGAAACAAAGAAAATGATGTTGCCAAGAAGAAGAAGTGATTTCCTCTGTTAATTTAATTCAGTTTCAATTTTTTTTTCTTCTCAGTATTTTTTCTTGAATTGTTCAAATTGTAAAAAGTAATTGAGTGGACTTAGGCATTAGGTATGGTTGTCATAGTAAATAAAGATATAGACTATCTTGAAAAACAACTTTTCAGTTTGTCTTTATTTAAACATATTTGTGAATGATGGGGACAGGGGGAAAAATAAACCTTTGTGGTTCTTTGTGGGAAATGATCTAATATTTTGCACTCTGAAAAAGTTCAGACTAGTCCCACTTGATGGATTGTGTGGATTGCGTGCTGTACCCCACCTAGAGCATTTGGGCGTCCCATGGTGAATTAGCACCATGCACTGAGGGATTAGGGCTCAGGTGGTGTTTTGAAATGAGACCGAAGCATCTCTCCAAGAGCTATCTGCTGTTTTCCCTTCATCACACAAGCACACACACACACTGTGCACCAGGTGTTAGTGCATGTAATCCATCTTTACACAAGCATCTGCAATCAGGTGTTCTGTCAGCTTATGTTAGCCCAATAAACCAGCCAGTGCAGGCTTACTTGGTACGAGTCTCAGTCAGCAGGCTGAAACTCCCCATTAAAGCAGACACAGTCTCCCCCACTCTCCTTGGTTGTATATAGTTCTCTCGGTGTGGCAGGCCTCTCATTCCCTGCCATGCCTTATTAGACTGACTGGGAGAACAGAACATAAGTGAGACACTGCTCAAAATGTATTATAGTACCAGGCTCTGCATTTTTTGTCTGTGGGAGGATAAAACTGAGATGGTAATTTATTCTTAAATACTTGTTTTTGCCAGGATAAAAATGTTGATTGCTAGTCTATCCAGTGAACAATAGGTCAACGGTTAGAGCTAAAGATTGGTGTGAGAGATATACTGCAGTAAATACGCACAGGGGAAAAGTCTCGATTTTAAGCAAAATTGGTTTTCCTGTATCACCTTTTCTGATGTAGTGGAGAGTCTGACGTGCTTTCTTAACTCTTTACCCTGTTGAAAGGTCCCCTGAAGAGTAGTTTCTGTATATTTCAGGCATGCTTATAGAACAACATGTCTGGGTTTGCATCAGAGAATAGACGGGTTAGTCTTTGCCTATGCAGCTGCTGTTGGAAAAACATGGAAACTATTCTAGTAGTCATCGAACCACATCTCTATGGTTCGATGGAGGTGGTCAAATGCCATTTTTAAGGAGAAAGAGTTGAGCCGTTCACTCGTTAATTGCTTCAGGTCGGTTCCTGTCGCTGCCCAGTAAGAAGCCACTGGCCTCCCTGTTAGGAGAGATATCCAAAATGACTTCTTGTAGTTGCGTATCAGCAGGTAAAATAGGTCACCTGTCTTGTCTGACTCCTTCAGCAGGCTACAAGGTTGTTGTTAAGTCGCTGTTTGCCCTCAGCACCAACTCATTCTCATTTGGAATCACTATATCAGTCCAAAGTATACACTACCAACTGCTGGCCATGTGGCTCTCAGGAATATTAAAGGAGACTTGAGCAGGATGAGGCCGGTCATTACTGCGACGGAGCCGCCTCAAAAACCTTGCTTTAGTGCGATGGTTTACTCAGACCACAGGTGGCACAGAGAGCAAAAGATATTTATCAGCCAGGTCAGAACGTTTTTTGGACTTTGTGCACGGTCACTGGTAATGATAAGGCAGAATGGTTGAAATGGCCAAATTACGGTGACATTTTGGCTCCACTTTAAGAAAAAAACAAACTGCAAGCTCTCCTCTGTCCCATTTCCTTTCCATTCTAAGCCTTGTGGGACACCATGAATCGTACTGTACATCAGTGGGATTTTCTGTTAAACCAACCAAGTATTGCTGCTGGAAATGTCTGACAGAAAGTGTAGCTTAGTGCTTTGTGTCAAGTTTGGTCTTATCAAAACTCCTGGGGAAAAATGGCTGTCTTTTACGAAAGAAAGTTGCTCCCTGTAAAGTTTTTCTTACTTTTAAGAGTGAGGCCGCTTTAGGATCTCACATTGTCGGTAGTTCTGATGCTGATTGGATTGTGAGACGTTATCATTTATTAATCGTTTTCAGCTTTTAAGAATGCTGTTCTTTGAGAAGACCTTACTTTACCCCTGACTGCATCACGCTATCATTTCAGAATACTTTGTTTTTTTTTCAAAGAAATGACTATATTCCTCTAACTCTACCGGTTGTGTCACTGATTATATGTGGTTCTTGCTAAATTTGAAAGAATTGTGAATATAATGATAATATTTTTGAACTTTTGTTTATAATAAGGCCTCAGATCTGAATAAAATTTCAAACTTGTTCACAATCCATGTCATTAACATGTTTTATTGCATACCATGTTTTTCTTTCTTCTTTATTTTTTGTGGTATTATTTGGCAGAAGTCACTCATATCGCTTGCAGTGGGCAAAGCATACAAGCACACATTCAAAATAAAAGCGCTGGTATCAATTTTAAGGAGGATGCCCACAGCAGGACCACTTCCTGAGATTTAATAAAGACAAAAAATAAATCCAACCAGCTCAAATGTTTGTATACCTTTTAGAAAGGGTCTTTTTTTTAGTCTTTTCAACTTAAAAGCCTCACATGTTATACTAGAACCAACCAGCAGAGGGCCCCTGCTGAGGATTCCCCATCAATTTCACAGGATTGGAAGAAGCTCTCATTCAGTGCCAACGCGGAATCAGGTCACCCTGTCTCAATCCCAGCCTGTAGCATCCCAGCATGACATAATAACTGTCACACTACCAGTGGACGGTGCGCTACTTATTTTGACACTTCTAAAATTTCTGTGAGAGATTTGGGTCGTGGGGTAGGGGTGGTGCTGACCAAGCCTGTGGCTCTTCATAATCCCAGGTTACAATCTTAGCCAACAGCTGTTTGAACTACAACGATGACCTAAATATGATCTGATTCATTCAGGGCTAATAGGTTTTGTCCGTTCCCTGCACCACACACTCACACGGAGCTTTCTGTTTGTGTGAAAATGGGATTTGTGAACAAGCTGTAACGGCACAGAGACATAAGCCTGTAATGACTCTAAAAACTGCATTCTGTTATTCCACAGAAACCTTTAAAAAAGTTGACTGACTGACAAAAGACAAACACAAAAGTCTAATGTAAATGAATTTGGCTTTTATTCATGGCAAGTTAACCTCGGTTGACTCGTGACAAACTGCAAACGGCTCTGCCAGCAAAAATCCATTTTCATATAAAACATGTTAATGTTAAATATGCTAATCCTGGAGCCACTTAGAGTTTCTGAAGTGTAGAGTTCAAGTAAATGTGCAGCTCGCTCCTCTTTTGTCATGTTCAAATTATTTCCTCTGGGCAGTATCTAAGCAGATTGCCACTCTGAAGTCAATGAAGTTTATTTGAAGAAACGATTTGGCTGTGCAGTGCCCTTGTAACCCCTTAGCAACTCATCACCATGTATATTAGACACACGCTCTTGGATAGCACTTAAGCCCCAATCGCCATGAGGAGTTAGAAGCGTGAAATTGTGCTCTTGAAATTCCAGACAATGTTATATCACTGCGCTCCCCGTGGCTCTGTGGGTTTAAATCACGGTTATTTTTCACCCCATTATTTTTCACTGTTTTAATGTCATAGCAGGAAACTGACCTCTCTGCTCTATAATGGGTTGGCTGTTTTTATGATCAGAGTGGCCACGTGTTACACATCATCACTTCAGGCTCTCCTTTGTATGTCAAAACTTGCATGTAGTGTTTTGTTGTTTTTCTCCCCCTGAGCGGAGCCCCTAAAAATGCTATGGAGATCAAAAAGAAGACTGAGATTACTTTTCTAGCACTACATGGCTGAGGCATTTATAAATCATCAATAAGGCTAGGTTAATTGAGTCCACGGTCACTGTTAGTAGAAACTTTATTTCATTCGCAACATCCACACCTTGTGCACACGACTCATTCCCAGTCACTACGTGAAGTTAAGCTATGATCTGTGTTAACCCTTTAAAGCCTGGGCCATGAAATAATTACCAGAAAATTCTTTTTTTAACTGACTGTTTAGTTTCTGATTGAATAAAAAATACATGTATACATTAATTTGCACATAATTGCTACATCAGGCATTGGTTTTTTGTTTTTTTGCAATTTACATTACTTTAAAAATGTGCAATTTATGTATGTTTTTTTTTGGGAGGGGGATATCACACTGAGGGAAGCACGGTGGCACAGTGGTTAACACTGTTGCCTCACAGCAAGAAGGTCATGAGTTCAATTCCACCATCAGGCCAGCAGGGGCTTTCTGTGTGGAGTTTGCGTGGGTTCTCCCCGGGTATTCTGGCTTCCTCCCCCAGTCCAAAGACATGCACTTTGTGGGGATAGGTTTAATAAAAAATCGAAATTGCCCATTGGTGTGAATGTGAGTGCGAATGGTCGTCTGTCCCTGTGTGTTAGACTGGCGACAGACTGGCGACCTGTCCAGGGTGTACCCCGCCTCTCGCCCTATGACAGCTGGGATAGGCTCCAGCAACCCTGGAAAGGATAAATGGATATCGCACTGATAAACATGATATAATAAGCATGATACACTTGGCTTTAAAGGGTTAATTGGGTTATGAAGGGTAAATGCGCAGGAAGTAATCTAAAAATTTCTTCCCAACCTGTCAGATTCAAAAGCTATACATTTCAGTCTTCACCCTTAATTGAAAAATGTCATCAAAAGCATTTAAATTTCTCTCTCTACATATAAAATATATACGTTAAATACATTCAGGGTTTGTCACTGTAAAGCAAAAGAAGAAAGCATCTAAAATATTGTCAGGCAGACGTCACGAGATTCATTACAAATCTTGCTTTGCTTTCTCAGCCAGTAATGACGAGATCATTATTACTCCTCGCCGAATGACTTAAAAGATATATTTTTTAATAAACTGCTTTTAATTAACACATTTTTTTCTGCAGTAGGTTTCAGTTTCAGAGTGTGTGTTATTGTCTTCTGCTTCAACACAGTGCAACGTACTACAAAAACACCGGCGTAATGAGCACCCAAGGCATAAGAAAATATAGGCCCGGCCATCCATTAAAAAGCAATAAATATGAAAAATAAATTAGCTTAAAAACATTTCAAGTATCAAATCCCCTGGGTATTCGCTGTTTGACGTCAGCGTTGTGCACTTCTAACGCTGTCGCTATAGAGACAGCCGTTTTTAAAGAGGTCGGTCAGCATCCAAACATTGCTGGTAATTCTGAGCTCACCCTGTGCACCTAACTGTGTAAAGCTGAAAACCATAAACGCCAGATCTGTCGGACACCTTGGCCCGTATGTTTTTTTGTTGTTTGGAGGGGGGTGGGGGGTTTAGTTCACACGATATCCTCTGAGGTAATGATATTATTTCTTTTTCCCAGTAGCAATATGTCTCCTCGTTGCAGCCTCCAGCCTCTTTCTCTCTGCTTCCTCTGCTTTTTTCCTTTCTTCCTTTAGCTCCTTGTATCGCCACTTTGGAACCTGCAGAAAGTTCCCCCCACCATCTTTGGAGCTGCTCTTCCTCCGAACCTGTGCCGGCTCATAAGTGGACGGTGGGGCCTTGGACACTCTCACCTTGGGTATGGTGAAGCCTGGCCTCACACTGCTCCTCCTCAGCACCATGTGCATGGGCAACAAGCTTGTTCTCCGTAGCTCCATGGCTTGGTTATAAGACACCAAACCCAAGCTGGAGCTCCTGTGCCGAGGCACCAGGCTCTGAGCCTGAAGGCTGGCCCGGCGACCTGCTGAGTTCTTGGTCACCAGAGTCACACGGGAGTTCTCAAAGAGTCTGAGATGGCTGTCCACCCTGTCAGGGTTGATGGAGCGAAGCTCCTTGGCGCGCTGCTGGCGAATGATCTCTGGGACCGCATAGCGCCGTTTGCCCACACCCGGAGGACTGTCAGGACACACCTGAAACAAAACCAGCAGAGTCTGATTGGTACTGATATCAGCAGCATTGCAGCAGCAATACTGGTGACTCTGGATGCCAATCATGCCTTTGTTTTCGGTATTGCAGACAGTTAATCTCACACGAATAACCCTCTTAGCGGATAAGGCTGGTGTTAATCATTTCCTTCAATTATTATGAACTAATCCTTAGGGAAATCACAGAATTGGTTGATATAATAAATGATAAATTAGTGCCACATTTTAAGTGTTATTACCATAATATGATCATTAACGTATAAGCACAAGTTTTATACTATACGGTGACAAAATGACTTTACCATTTGACTTTATGATTTCAAAAGCCAAGTCTGTGGAAGATTGTTTTCATACTGTTCAAAAACATTTGGCTTCATCTGAAGATAAGAAAAACAGTTTTGGTATCTCAAAGTTTGCCGAGTATAAGCACACATCATTGAATAACACAGAGAGCAACCTTACCACAGAGCGTTTATACTCATTCAATACCTCAGCTGAGGCTGTGATTGAGAAATACTTGTTGTGAGGAAGGCTGAAGAGGATTAATAAATAAATCAATAAATAGAATAAATAAATTCTAGAGCTTAGTCACTCACTGTGCGGCATGCCACAGCGATGAAAGGGCTCCTAATGCCAGTCGTAATAGAAACCATGTGGTCGATGGCGCCTTCGTCCTCCGGGTTGGTGACATTTGCGATGTTGAAGATGTTGCGCATGGTGTCCGACAAGCGTTTCAAACAGCCGCGTGGCTCCTGGGATTTGGCCACCAGTGATGCCAGCGGGCGCCACTCTAGACTGGGAGAGCAATACTGACATCAGTTCATGCACCGAGAGACGAAAAGGCATTTGTGTTGTGTTTTTTGTGTTGAATGTGTAATATTGTATGTTCTGTTCTTTTTAATGAGTCAGTGGTAACTTGCACTGACCTTTCTCAAGCAAGGCTTGTCTAGAAACACTAATGATGGCTACATAATCTGAAGCAGAGTCACAATTATTTATTTGCTACACAGCCTGCTATCAGGGCGAGATGATGTAAACAGAAAGCTCAGAAAGCTGCTTTTGTGGAGAGGATGCAAAGAAAAGGAGGACAGCAGGTACCTCATAATTGCACACAGCTTTTCATAACTCCATGTAAAGATAACAAGTGAGCAGGGCAGTAAATTCAACAAAGGGTCAGCGATTTTTTCTTCTCTTGGAAATCAGTTTAGAAAATGCCGTCATAAACAAGGACTTGCACATCTTAGACAGCTAGCTGTGAATTGTACCTGTATGTATCACAGTACTGGTGTGGACAAGGCCGTTCTATTAAGCGCGTCATCACCCATGCAGTTTCATAACGGCCTGTAAACAAGGCCCAGTCCCTGGCAGTCAGTTGGCGGCCAAAGTCTTTTGCATTCAGGGCAGCTCCTGATGGACACAAAGAAGACAGGAAAAAGTTGAATTTGTGGATACACAAGCATGTAAGCTCAAAGATAACAAGGTGGGGACAGAGTGAGTTTGTGGCCAAAAGCTGTCTCGCTATGCTCACTGCAACTTGTGTACTCAGCACTCTCACAGGGTCAGTTAGCAGATTTGTGTAAATGCGTAAGAAGTCCATTATTTGGGGAAAAAAATACGTTGAAATTAAATCCATCCTGACATTTAAACCTCCTGCTGTTATGCTTTGGCATCAAACCTCAACATAAATCCTAGTTATGACTAAAAAATAAATAAATAAATTACTGTTTACGTATTCAAATTGTCCATCTGTTCGCCAAATTTCTGAAAATAACATTTTCTGCAGTTATAATCTAACCCATTCCAAGTATAGCACTGCTACAGAGTTTCGTGCATTTAATTAAATTAAACGCATTTCCTTACCTGCCAACATGAGCGAGCGCACGCACTCCACCCTGCCCTGCATGGCGGCTTTCATTAGGGCGGTGAAGCCGTGACAGTTTCTTCTCTCTATATCCAACCCAGAGTAGTAGTTCAGCAGATAGTTGGTGATTGTTATGTGGCCTAGAGTAACAGAGAGACGGAAAATAGTTACTGTTGGTCAGACAGAGGTGCTAAATACTGCAGATCCTGCAATGGCCACTCGAGGCTGGCTATAAAACCGAGGCAATTCCTAAAGACTTCTGCATTAAAATGTCTTTACAGCAGATACAGAATTACAACCTGGTCTCTAGCTAGGCATTTCAGTCTGCAAGTAAAGGTTTACTGGTTCAATTCAGCCAGAGACACAGCTCCCTTTTGCATTAAGAAGGGCATTTGATGTAAAACTGCTAAATGTGTAAACATGCAGAGTTACCCCCTTGTAGCAAGTCGAAAGTAGTTTCTAAAGTTCTGATTGACCGCCATGTTTTGACAGCCAGCTCAGCTGATCAGAGTCACTAGTCCTCAACTTTTATTTAGAGGTTGTTGATATAATTCCCTAACAAATAACACAGCTTGCTGAGCAGTTCATTATAGTAACAGACCATCCAATATATATGTTCTTAAGTTTTTGTAAGTGAAATTCAAGTATTAATATATATATGTTACTAGTGATGCAGGTATCTGCATCTGGTACAGTCTAAGTAGGTCGGTAGCCTTCAGTATCAAAAGAGCCATTTTAGCTCCACCTACCCAACAATGGGAGGAAAAGAGCAGGAAACGAAGGTGACGGGGACAGGGGGGCAGATTACAGATATAACTGAAAGAGGACAAATTAATACATACTGTATATGTATTAATAGGGTTATGGTTAACCCTAATTCTAACCCGTGGCTTGCGAGCTGAGCCGCAGTTTGCTGACCTCTTGCCTTGGTGCAGGGATGCCTCTTTCCTACCTAGATGGCTAGCATTAACTAAAACTAATGTGCTGAAAACTCTACAACCTCTCGTGCAAATATGGCTACTCATGGCACCAAAAAATTAGGATAGGCGTTGACAAAAATGCCAAACTTTAGAGGCTTCAGAATCATAGTTTAAAAACCACTGGGTGTCATGGTGGCTACATCCATCTTCTATTTACAGTCTATATTTAAAGTAAATGAGTAAAATGAGCAGCCCTGCTACAACACTATAAGAAAATGCCTTGAAAATCAGTTTCCCATCATGCATTCACACTTGCTAACAATATTTTTGAAGGAAATCATTGATATCATACGACTGGTCAAACAACATAGTCACTGGCTCTATGTTCAAACACAAGTTTGAACATAGAGCCAGTTCAAACTTGTGTTTTTCTGGTGCTCATATGTGCGTTCATCTGTATCAGCATATTGTGTGTGTGTGTGTGTGTGTGTGTTTGTGCGTGTGTACAGTATTTGTTTCTGTACATGTAAGAGTCTAGCAAGACTGTGAATCAGCCTGTCAGTGTGTGTATTTGACTACTGCGAGCTGTGATTATATGGTTATGTGTTACCTGCTTGCGCAGCAGTGATCAGAGCCGTGTTTCCCTCGCTGTCCTGCCAGTTGACATCTAGGTACGGACACTGAGACAGCGCTATGACGACATCCACGTAACCTTGGTAGCACGCAACCAGTAGTCCTATCTGAGACGAAAAAGTGACAGGGCAGGAAAAAGAGATAGAACAGTTGAAAGAAAAAGAGAAGGGAGAGATATATATAAGGTTAGAATCAGCAAAATCGCTAAGGTGAACGAAAAAGAAGGTGAAGCAAAACTGCAATAAAGTGCTGACATATACGAAGCAGTCTGCAGAAAAATGCCATCAAGGCAGCGCCGGTAAAAATCCACAAGACCAGTGAACCTGTGTGCAGTTCCCAAAACTAATATCTGTGATTAAACATGACATCTGTTGTGTTTTCGCTGAGAAACCTTAAACTCAAAAAAGCTATCTTCCTGTCTGATGTTGTTGTGTACTTTTTTGTGGATGTGTTTTTCTGCCAGAATAGTTGCTCTTTTATATGTGTGTGGAAAAATGTGTAAAGGCTAGTCTGTGGGTGAAACTCTATGAGGCCTGGTGAGTGTTTGACACTGGAAAACTCCAGCAACAGTTGTGTACTTTCTGGAAGGTGCACACTTCCTTGGCCAAGACAAACAAGCTGACTGAGCGAGCAGAATTCAGGAACTCAGCGTTCTCAGGTGATGTATCTTCACAGATATACAGGCAATACTTTATATGTAGCCAGACAGACAGACAGATAGATGCTGAATATAAAATAATAAATAAATCTAATAATATTATATACAACATATATGACACTTCATTAGTTACATTTATTCAACTTCTCATAAATACAAATATCTAATCAGGCAGTCACTGGGCAGCAACTCAGCACACTTAGGGAATAGCGAATACGGTGCAGTCGACATTCTGAAGTTCAAACCAAGCATCAGAATGGGGAAGAAAGGTGACTTAAGAGACTTTGAACATGGCATGGTTGTTGGTGCCAGATGGGCTGGTCTGAGTGTTTCAGAAACTGCTGATAAACTGTGATTTTCCTGCACAACCACCTTCAGCGCTTACAAAGAATGATCCCAAAAAAGAAAATATCTCACGAGAGCCAGTTCTGAGGGCCAAAATGCCTTGTTGACGCCAGAGGTCAGAGGAAAATGACAAGACTTCTTCTCATAAGCCAGCTTACAAATATAATTAGAAGAATGCAACAGTAACACAAATAAACACATCTCAGAATGCACAACAGATGAAACCTTGAAGGAGCTGGGCTATAGCAGCACAAGACCACACTGGGTGCCACAGCTGTCAGCTAACAACAAGTTTGTTGAGTAAGAAGAAGAAAAAAAACAAAATAATTGTGCGCAACTAGAAATTCGTGTAGCCTGATTATAGGCAATCCAGATGAGCAAGGAGAAGAAACAAAGGGGGCATTCTCTGAATTCTGAATTTGGAGCTGACAGGCAAACAACATGTTCATTACTTAACAAGCTACCAGACCCTACCCGGACTTTAAATCTAAATAAACTATCTAAATATGCTGTATTAAAGCCAGGAGTGCTAAAAAGAACAAGTCAGACCTACTCCTTGTCATGTTTCAGCTGCACGTTGCACATGTATTCTGCTACAGGTTTATACACTGAGTAATACTGTAGTACTTTTTTGTTCTGTCTTGCATTTGCAGTAACACAAAATGTCAACTGTGCTAAAATAAAACGAGGTCAAGTTGACCACAGAGACTCGTATATCTCAACTTATACTACACATCGTCAAGGTAACCCTATACTATTACCTTTCACACTCAATTCCTTTTAAAATGTGGTGTTCTCTTTATGACAGACCAGCCTGATGCTTTGCACCTTTTTGGCACAATACGTTTTTAATCTTGGTTTCCAAGCACACGGTGTTATTCCCCTAATTAATCTTTTCAGCTCTGGCATGAATGCAATCGAAAGTAATCTCAGTATGAAATCTTAAATATAAAAACAAATGAAGATTGGTACGGATAAGGCCCGAAGATTTATATAAACCTCTCAAATTTATGCATATTCATAGGCTGGTAATTATAGTCAAAACAGAAAAACCTCAAGAAAAATCACAGTGTTTCGTTTTTTAAGTCGCAGAGTGTTTCAATTATCTCTAATTTAATAGGCTTCAACCGTATGTCTTTGCACCCAATAAATATAATGTTTTGATAAATCATTTAATTATAGCTTTTTGTCACAGTGCGGGTAGGATTGCTTAAGCATTGGCTTTATTTGTGTTAATCAGACACATCACACTGAACACTGAGATTCCTATTAAAATATAGGAGACAAGCTTTTGGTTGAGGTTGAAGAGAGGTTCAATTATCCCTCAGATTTTACAGGACATGGACCTTAGCCGTATTAAACACTGAACTGTGAACTAAAACAAGTCAGTTGGAGACACAGTCGCACTAATTTTGGCACATCTGAGAAAAACAGCTGACAAAGGTCCTGCAGAGTAACTACTGGACTGTCTCAGAGAAGTTCACTTACACTGGCACAGCTTCAAATAGTTCCCTCTGCTTAGACACTCTCACGTAGACCTTGTCTGTGTCTCTCACGCTTTCTCACATACGCAAACACACATTCTTGGCAGCCCTCCGGTTGTGATGTGATGTACTTTAGCAGCACGCCCTGCAGCATGTCTCGAGCAATCTAAATCGTCTGACTTTGTTTTTGTTTTCCTTGCGAACCTTTGTCACACACAGGTATAAACACATACAAGCTTCTTTATTTATCCCAACCGCCCGACGTACTTGTTACATTCCTGTCATACACACTACTGCAATCAGTTATATAATGCACGTTAATGGTAGCTGCTGACAATGATGGAGCGCAGCAACGTACAGATATATAGGCTGTATACCAGCATCAGACCAACCTCCCCCTCCTCGATTGTCATAAATGGGCAAATAATGACAGGAAACTGGAAAATCTCCATCATGAGAAAAAAAAAGAATGTGATCAAAAGCATAGGTTTGCATCATTATAATCAACAATTCAATCAATTAACGAGAATTCTCAGGGGGATTGGGTATTTTGTCTTTAGGTCAAATGAAGTTGCAGACCGGTTGCTGATGGACATCAACACATGTCCTCACTGTCCCCTGTGACATCACTCATTCTCATACTGACCTTTTCTTTTCAAGTAAAGTAATTGCATTGAATACATTGAAAATGTCTTAACTAATGCCAAATGTTACTATTTACTGTTAGGTTCTTCTGTGCACAGTCAAAACTGAAAGATGTTCCAAATAGGTTTAGTAGAAAGCACTTAAAAGTCATCCATCACTTCATAGCATTAACATGTTGGAGCATGAATGGTGTCAGGTTTATGTTGCATTCGGAAAATAATGGAAGCTAGCTAAAAACGTCTTTCAAAAATATCATCAGCTGCTGAAATTATTAGGTCAAACAGGGTGCTCTTATATAATAAAACATAAATAAATGAATTTTCAGCAGAGACCATGTTGATCAAATGCGTGCACAGGTCTTAACAAGATTAGGCTGAAGAATTCTAGCATCACTCGATTTAAAACTTGCATCTTGCAATCAAGATTATAATGTGTATTCTGATGAGCGGGCACGCATACACACATACACTGGACTGCCTGGACTTAGATGACCACACACACACACACACACACACACACACTAACACACTAACACACTAAGTAATCTGAGGAATATCCAGTGCTAGGAATAGAAAGGCTTAGCCTTATCAGTCAGAAAGACACGGAGACAGGGGGGGAGGGAGAAACATAACCATGTATCTGCAGTTAATGTGGCAACACTCCAAAGACTGGTTCCAAAGAAGATGACACAATACGATGCAATACCCAGTGTAACCTTTAAAATTCCTTGATACACAATAAATATGTTTGCAGTAGTACCACGTTATCTTCACCGTGGATACGTTTTTTGATTTATGCTGGTCCTAAAAGAAAAGAGAAACTGCATCTTTTTAAGCAGCCAGTTATAAATTTTAGAGCTGCATAGTTTGTACGTAGTGAAAAAGTGTTGATAATCCAAAGAACGGCCGCTGTGTCCTGTGATTTCAATCACTCTGCAGTGGTGGAAAAGTTGGCACTCAAATAAAAGCCTTACTTAATACATATCAATATAAATAGGAAAGCATGTTTCCAATTAGAAACTTGCTAAAAAGCAGCTCTCTTTCCGGTTGTATTGCTCTTTACCCTGGAGTGACTTAAAGGTGTATGTCCAAACACATGCCGCCTTCTTCAGCGAACTATTCTGACTACTTTCTGCACTTATGGAAGCCTAACTGTAGCAGACAGCCTGCATGTCTGCAGCCTGTGCAAACCACATGTGAATAAATCAAAATGAAAACATTCAATTCATTTTTAATTTTACAGGAAACCTCAGTACACATGAGCCACATGCTAAAGACCACCCTCATTCACATCCGTCAGACACACCACGGACACAGACATACCAGGCCATGTTTCTGTCAATATCGCCCCTGTTAAATTTCTTTCTGTCTGCAGCTGAGCGTTCACACAACTGTATCAAATCAGATGTGTATGACTGTCGCTTTGATTTTTCCACTCATCAGTATTTGCTAGCAGCGTCGAGCTCGCTACCATCTGCAGTGCCACATTTCTGTCTCTATCTGACTATGCTTCATTTAGTCTATCTGCCTGCCGGCTTGTTGGTCGATACGTGTGTTGGTCAGCTGTTCTTTCTGTTGGGCGACTTTGCTGGCTCTCTCAGCAGATGAAACATACCGTATCTGTCCTGGTTTGTCAACTGACCCCAATCTATTTGGAAATTTGGAATTATTATATTTGATCTGTGTATAAATCAGGTTGATAGGATTCTGTGCGTGTTTACTGAGTGCACATATGAGCATGACAAATTACCCAATTGATTGCGAGGGGAACACACAGTGTAGTAAACAGGGTCAGATGGGCTTTGAGGACAGAGCTGATACCTGAACGCTAGAAGAATTACCACTAATGTGTACCATGACCATATTATTCTTTTACTTTTAACATGAGAATGACGATAATTTACTGACATTTAATCCATCACGTCAGCCACAAAGTCGCAATGAGAGCATGGAGATTTTGATAAAGTGTGCTGCAATCATATCACTGGAAAATTGGATACACATTAAACACACATACTTGTCATTATGTTTATTCCTAAATTCAGAATGCAGACATTTAATTAAGTTTCAATATGTGCACTTGGCAGCAGAAAATGCAGTTTTATTGCTTTTCAAAGCCTGTGTTGACACCAAATGTGAGTTTTCACAAGAACTAAGAAGGCCTCCTAAACATGCTGGGAAATGAAAAACGGGCATCAAAAGTTAATTGTTTTATGACAGCAGTGGTTCTGAAGAAAAATATCCTTTAGAGGATAAGCCTTCTCATAACCTTCACAAGTTATTCTCATAATACCACAAAACATTTGACTAAAAGTGGAGGCTTCAAGTGTTCAGTGAATCAATGTTGTCAAATTCCCCTTGAATTCCTGAGGGGCCATATGAAACTTTTGTTCTCTTTCTCTTTTAACTACACTCTGGTTTTTAATCGTTTTACTGGAAAACATCCATGCTGCAGAAGTACCTGTTTGCACAACACAGAATCTCTCACAGTTTCTGGGCTGCAAGTCTGCAGCAGACTTTGTACTCAGTGGTCCCCAACTTTTTTTGCGCCACGGACCAGTTTAATGTCCGACAATATTTTACCCGTAACAAATTTCCCACGTGTGGGACTAGTAAAGGTTATCTTAATCTTAATCTTATTTTCACAGACCGCCCTTTAAGGTGTCGTGGATAAATACAACAAAATAAAATGATACGACCAAGACAATAATAAACGCAAATTAATTGTGTAATTGTGTAACTTAGAAGCGTCTTCCTCAAATGCGGCAACAAAATTGAGAGTAACATCCTCCTCTCTGCCCCTTCATACTCTCTGGTCGCTATGGTAACGAGCAAATATTTATTTCAAAATAAGACACACAACTACAACACAGGAAAAGACCCAAGGAAACCGAGTTAATGATAAGACCCCCAAAAACCATAAATTTCACACCCGAGCCTCAACTCTCAAGGCCCAGTACCAAATGACACACGGACCGGTCCGGAGGTTGGGGACCGCTGCTCCAGCTTAGCTTTCCTTTTGGAGGGGACCAGAGGAAATGACCTGAAATAGTGACTAAACTAGGCAACATACACTCATACGTGCGTCTACGGAGCTTATCAAGTTTTGAAAAACTGATGATTAGTGACAGAGGAAGTGGCGTGTATGTTGTACTCAGACTAGGCCAGGGATGTAACAACCGCCTTTGTTTTACATGCCACTTGATGAAGCTATATTAAGACGCTGACATCTGTGTCAGGATGTGTTTCCAGTAGATGTGTTACCTAACCTGTATTGTGTCTCTGAGTATGTGCATATCCCCAAGGTCACAGGGCACGACAAAGCTAATGGTACATGCACAACCACACATCCTAGTCATCTGGAAGTCTCTTTTCCGATATCTCTCACTGCAGCTACACTCAAACACACACTAAATGCGAGCATGTGTCTTCCGTTTCAAAGTGCCTTGAGGACCTTTGACCTTTTCCCTGTTATATACTTTATAACATACACATATGTTCAGGTCACAAGGACTCCTTTCCATGTTCTCATGACTGGATGCACTATGTAAATGCAGAGAAATAAGGAGGGGTAGGAGATGATGAGAGACAGATGTTTAGAAAAAAGGGAGGTGAAATGTAAGAAGCGACAGATGGGGTCGGCCTCTAGGTCAAAGAAGCAGATTTGTGATATAAGACCACAAAAGCGCTCCTTATCTGAATCTACAGTGCTGTGAAACTTCATCCTCTCAGCTTAAACTAGCTGCAAACAGCAGAAAACTATGCTTATATATTTGGCTTTTTTCCTTGTGTAAAGATCTAGGCATGTGTGCTGCTTGGCACTGGGCTAAAGCCATTCTCCAACTTTCACTAAGTAAAGCCACAAAGACAATGGTGACTGACATGTGCTGCCTTACCCCACACTGAAGGCCAGCTCAATTACAATTATTGAAATGTCCTGATGAATAAATACAAGTATAGCATGCCATCACTGTGGATTTATCTCTTTGCCCTGGGCTGCAGCTGTTTGGCAGGACTGAAGCGATGCAGATTGATTCCACTGCAAATAGATGAAAACTAACATTCATTTTAGTTTATTAGGATCATTGATCAAAACCACTGAAGAGGACAATCTGGTTCACATAATTAACTGACATATAATTTGGTTTATGCTAGCGCTTAATTCTATAAGACATATTTGAAATGCAGCCAGCTGTAACGGAAATGGATCCAATCCTATTCTGAACTTTATGGTTTTAAAATGCATCCTGGTTCAGACTCTCATCTCATTGATATATATAATACGTTTACTCACAGACTCATACAAAATGAATCCACGTAAAATATAAGTTAATGCATTTGAAGTAATAGTCGTTCACTGTCATGTGAAAAAGAAAGTGCACCCTCCTTCAGGACACAATAAAAAAAATCATCTGGTCCTTAGCAGGTCGTAAAATCAGGTAAATATAACCTCCATAGTACATCAAAATATGACATATTACACTGTGTCAGCCAAAATACAAACGCAGTTCATGAAAAACTAAGTGCATCGTTATGTGAATTCAGAGCATATGTCGACACTCGGTCCTGCTTATCAAATCCACTTGATTAACTGATCATTAGCACGTGTGAACACCTCTATAAAAGCACAGCTACAATTAGCATGTTAAATAGCAATGCAATTAGGAAAAGACTGAACAATTACAACTTGTTTGGAAAGGTTGCCAGGAGAAAGACCCTTTTTACTCTAAAAAGAAATGCCAGCACAGCTTAGGTTTGGGACTTATTTAAGACTTCGGACAGATAAGACCAAAGTGGAGATGTTTGACCATAATGAAGAGTGCTACATTTGAGGACCAAACATAGTGTGTCAGCACAAACGCCACATGTCAACTGTCAACCACATAGGGGGAGGTGTGATAATTTGGGTTTGTTTTGCAGCCACAGGTCCTCGACATCTAGCAGCCAGTGCTAACTCTGTACACCAAAGTTCTCTAGATTCAAATCTGAGGCCGAGCGTCCGACAGCTAAAGCTTGGCGGAAATTGGGTCATGCAAAGGGCAACGATCCCAAGCACAGCAGCAAATCTGCAACAGCACAGCTGTAAAGAAAAGAATCAAGGTGTTGCAATGGCCCAGTCCAGACCTAGAGACACTAGTGTAACTTATAAAAGCTGCACACAAATGAATGATAAGGTCACACAGAAAAACAATTTCTTCAAGCCATAGCTGGAAATTTGATATTACCAGATATTCTTGGGCTGTACTTAGTTTTTCACAAGTTTTTAATAAATAAATATAGACAATCTATAACATGCTCTTCTGACGCTATATTTGCTTAATGCCTGCTAAAGACCAGATGATTTTTGTTATGAAGGCCTGATACATAAAACCTTAGAAGCACTTTCTGTTTCACACATAAATACGCCTGCATGACCACACGCGCAGAAAGGAGTGGTGTGTTTCCTCAAAAATCACAAGAGCCTTCAGTGTTTTTTAAAGCGCCTGAGCATTCTAGCTCCTCATAAACTGAGATCTGTCATCACACACAGGCATACACACAGAAACTCACACATAGAGGCCTTTCAGAAAGGCCTATCAGATAAAGGTGTGAGCTCATTATGAAAATAAACAAAGCAGAGGAAAAGTGCAAAAACAGCTGTCAGAAGTAAACTGAATGTAGGCCTAAGTCACAGAACTACAGAGACACTAATGTAAGCTACACTGACTTCCATATGACATGCATTACAAGTTGTAGAGGTCAAACCTTCCCGAACATTGAAAATAGGTGAGTAAGCCAGAAAGCTCGGATTTAATTATTTCAGTCTGAAAATCTTTGACTGCATTTGTTGCACAAAGACTGGGCCTAAGATACTGTTAGATATAACTGGGAACTCCAAACATAAACCTTGTGAAACTGTTTCGAAATGCACGTTTTACAACAACTCTTGGTGTCACTGTGGAGGTGATCTAAAGCCACGTGTGTGAAGTTACTCGGAGTTTCTGTTGTGTGCTTCATACCCTGTTATTCCTGTCAGTCTCCTTGACCTCCTCCTCCTTCACACCATGCCGGATCATTATCCGGACTATGGCCGCGTTGTTGGTGCAGCACGCCTGGAAAAAAGACAGCGGCTCCGGGCTGTCCGGAGACGGGGAGCGCTCCGAGTCCGCGAACACATCATCCGGTGGATAGAAGGAGTCGTCCGACGCGATGCTCCGACAATCATCCAGGTCCTCAAAGTCAACTTCTTCGAACTCGTCATGGTCGTCCTCGCTTCCATCCTCAGTGTCCTCCTCACACGAGCCCAGGGAGTCCTCGTCCACATAGTGGGACAGAGGCTCCTCAGTTATGGTCGGGTGAACTTGGCGGATGTCTCCCCCGACTTTTTGCTGCTGCTGCTGGAGCTGGAGCTGTCTGACTCGGACCGACGAGGCGCCTCCTCCATCCCTGTCGTCCGTGATCAGCACCATCTAAGCCCCGAGCCTAGGGCACCGTCCGCGGGGTGGAGCGCAGCTTGGCAAAGGGCGCACGAGCATCCAGACTGGCTGTCTCTCCACGACAACAACTAAACTAACGCGCGAGGAAAGTCCGTGAAATCGCCTTCGAGAGCCCAAATCACATAAAACACTTGATTCGTTTCCTCATTCTAATTAAAAAAATTACCCCACTTCTCAGTTTGGAGATTTGTGAGCCATAAAAAGTCCTGCGAAGTAAGCAAGTACGGAGTGCGTCCTCAAAACGAAACCACGTTGTGTTTTCGTTATGAGTTATCCGGCTCGAGGGTACCCGGAGACAGATACAATTTGGGTACTTTCAAAAAGTGTTGCTACAGCGAAAAAAAGGGAAAAACGGACTACAAGTGCAGGCACACAGGGACGTCCCACCTAGGGCGGAGAGAGGGAGCTGCATGTTAACCTACAGTCGCCTAATCCGATTAGAGGTGACTGGGACCTCTCTCTCTCACTGTGTGTGTGTGTGCGTGTGTGTGTGTGTGTGTGTGTGTTGGATTATACTGCTGGTTGTAGCCCTATAGGAAACAATATTCCGAGAATAGTATAATAATATGGATAATATAGGGATTTTTGACTATGTTTGGGAATTAGCATAGTTAGTATTCAATTCTGGACTTTTAAGTGCAATACTAAAAAGATTGAAGTAAATATGAGATTGTATCTGACATGCATCTAGTTAATCCAGCAAACACTGAAGAAGCCCCTGATGTTAAAAGAAGGGCTACAATTTTAATGATCATATTTTCTACAAGTCAGAGATAATGTCGTTCTTTCTTTTCTTTTCTTTTTTTTTTAATCCTCAGCCACCTCTCTCTCTCTATATATATATATATATGTCACTCTTTCTTATTTCCATGAGTCAGTCCAGATAATAGAGACTTAGATTGGCCTTCATTACTCGGTATTAAACTACGGGCTTGTGTCTACGCTTTTGAGTAACCGCTTTCATCTCATGGAAACTTCACACTAATTTGGAAGGAAAATACATATCGTTCAGCTCTGGGCAAAGCAAAACGACTGACTGTGTGGGCTCAACACAGAAACCTTTTATGTAAAAATAAGCAAAACCTTACAAAAAAATTAACTTAGTGTAACACTAATCCCATCTGTCATTACATATGTGGTGTCACCAATGTTGGTTGGGTAAAAAGATTTAAAAGTTCTGAAAACCTCACATAGATGATGTTGCAGAAGCAATATCAGCTCACACTGTCTGCGCTAGTTCTCTACATCTGACCTCTGCTTGATTCTGATGACTGTTTCATTCGACTTTACACTTAAAGGCAGGATTTCTGGGAATTTTGTCTTAAACTCAAATTCTAAGATATTCTCTCTAGTGTAGTATCCTTTTTTCTCTCAGTAACAATAACATCAATTTGCTGACATCATCTGCTTTGGAAAAGAATCAAGTGCATAACAGTCCCAGTGTGTCCCTATTATTATTATACTTTCATCTACGCCCAGCTGAGAGCTCTGCTCTCCCATGGCTCATCCATCTCTGTCGTATCACTCTGCTGCTGTGTGGGTATCAGTCACTGTTAGCACTTTCAGAGATATATAGCTGTGAAATTTCACTTTCTGCTCAGGCAGCAGAGGACTCAAAGACACCAGAGCAATAGATCACAGACTCGAATGCCTCACCTCCAGCTTTGAGTTAGTTTAGATCTGTGGTGAAGCTGCAGCCTTTTTTATTTCCCCTTTTTATTTGATGTCATTTCACAGATTCACCAACTAATTTTCATAGATTTCAAACCAAGTCAGCTCACAATTGTGGAAACTTATTGGGAGAGGCCTAAAAGTGACATTGCAACATTATAATTACAAAAACTTGCTATATTGAGAGAAAGGGAAAAAAACAACAATTTCACACAATTTCCCTGAAACTTATGTAAAAAGAACAAGAAAAATTCCATTACCTGCTGGACAAAAACAAACCCCACTGGTTTTTGGCTCAAAACAGTCAGTGCATGGTGGGAATCTGACTATCTGAGCACAGTGACTGACTAGACCAAAACACACATAAAACACAGAGCAGATATTCTACCAGTAAGAAGGTCAGAGGTTTAATCCCCGGCTCTTCAAGGCAAGATACTGAACCCTGCGCTTCCCCTGATGCGTCCATTGGAGTGCAACTTACGTTAAAAGTGCTTCAGCATAGAAAGAAATGCTTGTGTGCGTGTGTGAATGAGGCTTGGCATAAGAAAACACTTTGAATGCTGAAATAGAGAAGAAATCCAATATATATGTACCAGTTTGTTTATATAAGTATCAGTTCATAGAGACTGGCCAACAAAGACAAAACTGGATCTCTAAAGATGACAGGTTAGGAAAGAGCCACACTCTGTGCAACAAAGCAGCACCTATGAAGACATTAGAACAAATGTAAGCTCAACGAATGGGATAAAATAATATCGCGGTTTATATGGGTTTGTTTTAAAACTTTACAACTACATAAGAAGGCGGGAGGATGAGTGTTGCCGTCACCAAAAAATTCTTTTCGGGTGCTCAGCTGAAGACTGTGGTCAATTAGTGTGATACAAGCTACCAAGCACAATGGAAGACTATTGAGGAGAGCATGTTTTCCTCTCCAATACAAGCTGTCTTGATGGATTCGAACATTCGAGAATGTATTGACAAGGTTTGCAACCCCTGGGTGTCATGTACACTTACTGTATGGAGAAAAGTCGTGAAAGAATTTAAATTGGAACGGGATTTGGCTTTATTTAAATGGTATGCATACGACTCTGACTTTGTCCCGAATAAATTGGACTCACATTTTAAAAGTTGGTCTGCTAAAGGGTTATCTACATTCAATAGTTTGATTAAGGATGGGAACTTAATTAGTTTTGACACACTGAAACAGAAATACAATCTAGAAAAACAGAATTTTTATCGATACTTGCAAATAAGACATTATATAAAGACAACAATCGGTGTGATGTCAAACACTAATGTGGAACTGGTAACTCTGTTTAGACAGGCGTATAGTGGGGATGTCGATACAAGACTCATTTCCTTTTTGTATAATTTTCTTATAAATAAGCTTCCCCACTCAACTGACTATGTGAAGATGTTATGGGAAAAGGAGGGAGGGGTGTGTGTTTCAAGGGAGGAATGGTCTCAGATGTGGGAACGGCAATGGAGGAGTACTTCCTCCAGCAGCTGGTGGGAATTTGGATGGAAGTCTATGATAAGGTTCTTTATTACTCCGTGTCAAAAGGCTCATTATGATGCAAATCCTCCTGTGTGCCGGAGAAACTGTGGACACCAACGAGCACATCACACCCATATTATGTGGGATTGTTCTTTGCTACGGACCTACTGGAAAGACATTCATGGTACACTACAAGGCATTTTTGACTGTACATTCCCTTTGGACATGAAGACAATCTTTTTTGGATGTATCACAGCAAAATCTCCAGTGTTAAATTAACACCAAAGAATTGGTCTAAAAATGATACATGTCTGTTAAGAGCTTTACTTGTTGCAAGTAAGAAAGGTATAACTAAGAAATGGTCCTTGCAAGATATACTGACTTTGTCAATATGGTGGGAAATTACGCTAGAGATTTATAGGATGGAGGAGGTAACAGCTTATGTCAATGACAGGGTGTGTTGGTTCCGTTCGTGTTGGGATAAGTGGGTCTTATATGCCAATACCCATAAGCCGAATCTTCTTTTCAAAGCTTGAAATTACCAACCTAGCTAACTGGTCACTCCCGACTGTTCAGTGTTCCTTTTTTTTCTTTTTTTCTTTTTTCTTTTTGTTTTGTTTTTCTCTTGTAAACTGTGTTGATTAATGCCTGTAATCACTTTCGTGAAGTAATAGTTTAGAAATAAAGAATTTAAAAAAAAAGAAAAAAAAGAACAAATGTAAGCTTCCATCCATCCATGTCTTGGAGGCAGCAGCCTAAGCAAGCAAGCCCAGACCTTCTGCCCTCCAGGTACCTCTACCAGCTTATGCAGCCAGCCAAGAGATGTCATCTCTCCAGTGTGTCCTGGATCTGCACCACAGCCTCCTTCAAACTTCAAGACTAAAGTGCAACATCTCCTTGGGAAACAAACGTGTGATTGCTATAAAATTAGCAACATTTGTTTATGCATGACAAGAGACAACCAGTGCAACGCATGACAACACTGATACAACTGTGCTGTCATTGCTATTTTGCAGTTCTACATGCAGTCAGCCTGTTACACACGCACAAATGCACACAAAGTGGATGGTCCTAGCTATCAATTTAGCAGATTTTTATCCCTATATAGTATTTTAAATTGAACTGAATACAGAATAAAGCACATGACGTAAAACGGGGGGCAGATAGTAGGAACAGACTCTTTTACTTCTCTTTTCCCCTGCTTCTCCTACAGTATTCCCAAATATCTAGTCTACTCTCATTTATAAAAAAGGGTGTGAACAAAATATTGGAACTACCTCTTATTGTAATGCAGCTGCAGTGTAATGCAAAGAGAGAAACTAACTATAAAGGGAAGTCCAGACACAGCTGAAATAACCACAGCTGAACAGTTATAACTGTCACAAAGGAGGCTTTATCACAGGCCTGTGGTGTCGGACCACAATCCTTTTAGCTAAGCAGAGCAAACCAACAGGCAATTGAGTGTTAATACTTCAAGTTGGATTCTGTTCCAGTCTTACATTTTGATCCATCCCTCAGCTGTAGTAGTGCTATTCAGTGCAATGTTCAGCAGAATAAAGCTCCCGTGAAAGCAACAATTTTCCTTTAGTAAAAAAGAAATTGGCTAGTATTGCTTGGCACTAAACTGGTCTTTCAGGGGATTAAACTCAATAACTAGAGCCCATTAAAGTGCAGGGATTCAAAGATGGCATGATATTACAAGTTCTTATGCGAAACAGTTTGCCTTATATTATTATTATTGTTGTTGTTGTCATTATTCAGCTTTATTTCCTGTGTTTGTTTTCTATCATGATATATAAATGATGGTTAGACAACTGTATTATAAAATCAAATAACCTGCTACAACATGCAAATCCCCACAGTGTCACTCTTCTCATTCAAAATGGAAGGGTACATTAACAAGGGTGATAATTTAGGATACGAACTCTTTATCTCTTTCAAAGGGACATTTTATCATCAAGGCCTGGGACAGAAACACAGCTGTTGGGAAATTTATGTTTCAGATAAGGACACTTTACATTTGCAGACATACACTCTGTATATGTCCTACAGCATCCCACGGTGCAGGATTCTGCCTGATAACTGAGAACAGCCTCGTTGCAAATCAGACTTTGTTCATTATTGCACGGAATGGAAAGTTGACAAAGTGATTGAACTTATTAAATCACCATGAAAATATATATGTTGAACCACCACCAGTAAGGTGGCAAGTGTAATTTAAGCGACTTTTATTAAAAATAGCACAGTATTAAGTATGAATCAGGTCAATGGCTCATCACTGCTTGTAGTCATATTTATATCACATCGTGTTTATTGCACATCACATGCTTCACATGCACAGCTTTGGCTCAACCTTGGCTCAGAAGACAAACCATATTTTCTCTAACAGATCAGCTGATAAGGACTTCTGATAATGTGTGGATTTCATGAAAGTGTGAGTGTCTTACTGAGTCTTCGATCCACTGAATACATTTGGGTCCATACGTTTTTGGCATGACACAATGTTTGTCGTTTTGTCTGCTTACACCTCCTCAACCAATTTCTAAATCAAAAAATCAAGATGTGATTGAAGTGCTGACTTTCAGCTCAAATTCATGAAGCCGTTTTTTATGCAGTCATCATTTTCAGAGGCTCATAAGCAATTGAACAGTTCACTGACAAGTAGTTTTGTGGTATGGGGAGATGCTGATGCAAGTGAGGGTGGCCATCATTAGGCTGCAAAACTTAAATAAACATATCAGAGAGAGATAGCAAACTCTTTAGTGGCCTGAAAGACAGAAAACAATTAAAGTGGACGAACTCTGAATTACTTTGTTGGTTTCTTTCACATCTAGTCGAGAACACTGTTGAGGAGGTAAGACTATCACTGTCAAAGTCTTCAGTCAAAAGATGCTTTCATGAGTGGAAATACTTGTGGTTTGCAGAGCCGGCTTTTTAATTACTGAAGGCAGTGTGATCCACAAGCAGGCAGTTGCTGACAGAGCATCTCAAGCAAGGAAACACAGCATTTGGTTGTATCTGTGGGTTCTAGACTTCAAGTAGTCAAACAGTCACTTTTGAGCCTCTGATAATGAGGAGTTGTGTATACAAATAGCTGTAATTCTAAAATAAAACCAAAATGTCCTCACGGCATGTGTTTGAAATATGTCTTAACCTATAAGCAGAGTAATATTACTTTAAAAAAAAAAAACATTACCATGGAATATTCTTCATGTAAAAAGGCATTTTCCGATAAGACGCGTGTACAGTGGGATGCAACCTTGTTAATAGTTAATAGTCATTATTTTCCTGTATAAATTGTTGGTTGTTAAATTAAAAAGTGTCAGTTAAATATATCATATTTACACACACACAGTGATATTTGAGAAGTGAAATAAAGTTTATTGGATTTACAGAAAGTGTGCAATAATTGTTTAAACAAAATCAGACAGGTGCATAAATTTGGGCACTGTTACCATTTTATTGATTCCAAAACCTTTAGAACTAATTATTGGAACTCAAATTGACCCCTGACCTACACACACAGGTGAATCCAATAATGAGAAAGAGCATTTAAGGGGGTCGATTGTAAGTTTCCCTCCTCTTTTAATTTTCTCTGAAGAGTAGCAACATGGGGGTCTCAAAAAACTCTCAAATGACCTGAAGACAGCGATTGTTCACCAGCATGGTTTAGGGGAAGGATACAGAAAGCTGTCTCAGAGATTTAAGCTGTCTGTTTTCACATTTAGGAACATGTTGAAAAAAATGGAAGACCACAGGCTCAGTTCAAGTTAAGGCTCGAAGTGGCAGACCAAGAAAAATCTCAGATAGACAGAAGCGACGAATGGTGAGAACAGTCAGAGTCAACCCACAGACCAGCACCAAAGACCTACAACATCAACTTGCAGCAGATGGAGTCACTGTGCATTATTCAACCATTCGGCGCACTCTACACAAGGAGATGCTGTATGCAAGAGTGATGCAGAGGAAGCCCTTTCTCCGCCCACAGCACAAACAGAGCCGCTTGAGGTATGCTAAAGCACATTTGGACAAGCCAGCTTCATTCTGGAATAAGGTGCTGTGGACTGACGAAACTACGATTGAGTTATTTGGGCATAACAAGGGGTGTTATGCATGGAGGAAAAAGAACACAGCATTCCAAGAAAAACACCTGCTACCTACAGTAAAATATGGTGGTGGTTCCATCATGCTGTGGGGCTGTGTGGCCAGTGCAGGGACTGGGAATCGTGTCAAAGTTGAGGGACACATGGATTCCACTCAGTATCAGCAGATTCTGGAGACCAATGTCCAGGAATCAGTGACAAAGCTGAAGCTGCGCCGGGGCTGGATATTTCAACAAGACAACGACCCGAAACACTGCTCAAAATCCACTAAGGCATTCATGCAGAGTACAATGTTCTGGAATGGCCATCTCCTACAACCTACAGGAAGTGTTTAGAGGCTGCAATTTTTGCAAAAGGCGGATCTACTAAATATTGATTTCATTTCTTTTTTGTGGTGCCCAAATTTATGCACCTGCCTGATTTTGTTTAAACATTATTGCACACTTTCTGTAAATCCAATAAACTTCATTTCACTTCTCAAATATCACTGTGTGTGTGTCTCCTATATGATATATTTAACTGACATTTTTTATTGTAACAACCAACGATTTATACAGGAAAATAATGACTATTAACAAGGTTGCCCAAACCTTTGCATCCCACTGTATGTGAAAACTCTTCTTTCCAGGAAAGAAAGATGAGTTTTCTTGAATTTTTCTGCAAGAAAATAAAATGACCTTGCTGTTGCTTGTATGTTTAGACAGGCTCCTGTAAGCTTTTCCTCTTTCAGTCATTCATTTTTCCCCTGAAAACCTCAAGCAGCCAAAACACCCACGATGCTCCCCTCTTTGGCACATAGCAGGAGTCCCTCACAATGATCTACTATGAGCCCTGTATGTGCACAAGCACTGAACTGTTAGGTGCATGCATGTGTGTAATGAACTGAAAATGTGACTTAAATTAAGTGTTTATGACAGGCTTTTAAAGGATTGCTTCTGTCTGAGAATAGGTTGGAAAAAATGTTTTCTCTTTATAGCACTGACCCTAACGTGGTGATTATTAATAGATTGATTAGAACCTCTTGATATTCTTGCCTAATAAGTTAATGAAGCCAGGGCAGAAAACACTACCAGCACTCAGAAGCTGAGGGCGACACTTAAATCCATGGTGAGAAAAAGCTTTTGTAGAATGTTAAGTAGGGGGAAAAAAATTCAATAGTCTACAAGTGGTAATTAGCTAATTTTAATCAATCACTAGAGGCCCTTAATTAAGTGCTGTGTATTCATGTGTTTAAAAAAAACCCTCCCAAATACAGGCTGTACCAATCAATGTTACGTATTGGTAGCATGATGTCAGACCAAAGACAAAATCAGGCTTGTAAATAGATTAATTAAAAAAAAATCTTTAAAAATCGTCTTTCAGTTTTAAGGATTCAAGTATACATCCTCCACTAGGCAACAACACATGAAGCATTACACTGTGTTATTATTTATTTAATAAACAGTATGGCAAAAACAGTGTGTGTAAAAACTACAAACAAGTGCAACCTTACATAATATCGGAATTAAGACAGTAAGTAGCAGCAAGGTGCTGTTAATCCAATGCACTTGATCAACTGATCATCAGCAGCTGTTAGTACTAGTCTGTAGCATTTAAGTGTGTGTTAAGGAGGAAAGACATCAGCAAAGACCTTAGATTACCAATTCTTGATGGCCATCTGGGATTGGTTGTGGGGTGATCTCCAAATAATCTGGTCCATCATTCTGCAGTAAGAAAATGATTCACAAGTGGAAAACAAGATAGATATAATCTTTCCAAGAGCAGGAAACTCACCCCAGAGGACTCATTTCACCTGATAGGAGGCAACCTTTCTGCAAACAGTCCCAGTCTGACCCTGAAAGACTGCAACCACTCTGAGATTATGCTGTCTAATAAATAAATGCAGACAGATTGCCAGCATGTTTCCATCAGTCTGAATGCGTCTTTGTCAGTGAACACAACTCGAGGTTATATCCCAAAGACCAGGAAGGTTGTAATAGTTAAATGTAAATTTCTATCTCTTCCTGTCTACATAGACAGGACGAGATACGTGAACTGCATACAATTAACAGACCTCAACCTGACTGAAACACTGTGGTGGGACCTTAATAGAGCTGTGCATAAATAAATGCAAGAAAACCACAATTAATGGAAGGAGTACAACAGCAAAATCCCTTCACAGTGATGTGAGAGACTGATAAAGTCACACAAAAAACTATCACTTCAAGCAGCTACAGAATCATACAGTTTACTTAGTTTTTCACACACATTGATTTTCATTAATCAAATAATGAAACTGTGTAATATTTCACGTGATGTTGATCATCCTTCGTCTCATTAAATCATTTTAGAACCTGGTAAGGACCAGATAATTTTTAAGAAGTCCTGATATATAAAATCTTCAAAGTGAAAGAGGGGATACTTTCTTTTTGGACGTCTTGCAGAGCAACTAATGACTGTTGTGCATAATCATGTAGGTAATGCTACTGTACAAGGGACTTATCAAGCTGTATAAAATGCTGGTCCTTCAACGGCAGCATGATAATGGCTGCAATAAATCCCAGAATCTGATGAAGCACCCCCACCCCTCACCCCGAGGTCCTCTCTCAAAATGCAAAAAGTAATTACAGTATTTTTTTGAACGAGTTTAAGTCTCAATAATTAAATTCACACCTGCTGATATGTGTCACAGTGGGGATTTTAAGATCACTGTTCCATTAGGAAGATAATGAGGCTCAAAGAGAAAATGCTTTGCGGGTCTTTGCTTGATTGACAGGTGCCTGTCAATCCCATCTTAAAGATGGCGGTGAGCGTATACCCCAGACGTATGAGAGAAGTGAGGGTGATATCACAGACAGTTCAACCATATTTCTGTTTTTAGCATTTACAATGTAGACAGTATTTCTAGATCATTTCCTTATTTTTGACATATCAGCACATGATGCACAATCCTTTTAGGATTCGAATCCACCTCCACTGTTAAACCTCCAGCTTCGGTGTGCAACGTTTGTTATGGAGCTGAAGCCACATCGTCCCAGTAGATAAAGTCCAGTGGCTTTATCATCCCATGTTGCAGGTCCCTGTAATATACACGCATTAAATATGTTACATGTCAATTAAATTCATTTCGTTCATATATATACAGCAAAACAATTCATACAAACATCTCCAGTCATCACAGATTACTTATCTAGATTTTCTTTTTGAAGTAAACTGAAACTAACCGACTGATAAAACCGACCCATAAATCTTTCAAACCAACAATGCTCTCATGCTCCCAAAGTGGAGTCTAGCTCAACCCAGTTCAACAATACAGCTCACAGAACGATAAATTCTGCAACTTCAGAAAACAGTTAGAAATATGTTTTCCCTTATCCTTACCCCGAAATCTCTTACACAACAGAGTCACTGTAGAATGAAGCCTTTGTGTCTGCTCTCTCTTCTACTGCCTTTTTTTTCCTTCGCACTGCCCTGCAACATTTGTCACGTCCCTGGAGATGTGATGTTGTGAGCAAAAGTTGGAGAAACAGTAAAGGCTGCGCAACAAGGTCCACCCTAAAGCTGAGATTCCTAAACCACTGACATCTTTGCAATTACATCATGTTTTTCCATGTTCTAACATCCTAAAACAAAGGGGGCACATCTGTAACTGTAAGCCTGACTATTATAGTGCAAGATGCCCCTAAAAAGAAATTTATTGGAGAGAAATTTGAGGATATCCAAGGAATGCTTTGTGAGGAGCATATAATGTGTCGCAATCAAACAGTAGGTATTTACATATACAGTGATTTACAATCTATTCTTCTTTTGCTGCTTCATAAATTTACTTCTGCACCTTACTGTGTGCCTCAGCACCTCTATGGCTCTCCCTCAACATGTTTTAAATAAATAAACTAATGATGATAAGGAGGAGGATAGTAATGCTTCTCTGTGTTGAGGCCACAGCATTCTTGGTGGATTGTACTTTTACTTTACTAGAACTGTCAACCAAGACATGTGTGACTGACAAGACAGACATTTTTCTAAAGAACAAGAACATGTTGTGTCTCAAAACACGTGCAGTTTGCCAGCTTTGCCAGGTTTAGTTTGATTTAAGTCAACAGGAGGCTGCTCTTTGTAATTTGCTGTCATGAGGCTTGGATTTTGTAAATCTCAAAGAATTATGTGCACAGGGTGAAAGACATGTTTTTACTACTTTGCTGTTTTACTGTAGCAACATTACCAGAGTATCTAAATCCAATTAACAACGACATAATAATTCACTAGATCAAAAAGCTTTCAAATAGAAGCTCCTAACACTCATGCAAGCAATAGTGCTTGCAGACTGAATAAATACACAACTGAGCTTTCAACATAGTGTTTTATTGTAAGCAGTAACAGCATTAAGGGTAATTCCTAGATCACTGGAAAGTACCAGCTCACAAACATGTACTTTTTTGAGAAAAGAAAAAAACTATAGCCCCGCAGGGTTTTTCCGGTTTCAAAATGGGCCGTTTTTATAATCCTTATAAAAAATGATCAGTCAAGGCTAGTCTGTATTTTGAAAAATCAATGGGTTTTTTATTATTTCTGTGCAACTGATACACAGTAATGCCCACTATGTAATGGTGAATGAATCCCTAATAAGTAGTTACGGTAAAAAAGGAACTGTTATATTTCCTCTGGCTATGCATAAAACGTGTGGGGTTGCCGCAAATTCCTGTATATGAGAAAACCCTGCACAGAATCAAAAACTTCCTGATTTCCTTATCAAAAGAGGTTCATCGGTTCCTGGAAAAAAAAAAGATCCACAGGAAACCAAGTTCAAATCAGTGTTTATGTTTTCTACTTGTCAATTTATATACCTCTTTTAATACAATATAAGTACAGCTAAAAATCTCGTCCTGTTTAACCTTGTAATTCCAGCTGGGCGATCCACATCCTCACGCATGGCTTCTGAATGTTGTGTTATTTAATGAAGACAAATTATGCGCTGTCTGCATCGTGCGCTAAATCTTTGATACCAGAGTTATCTCTGCTTCAGACTTCAGCCAGACATAAAAGCTATCAATACAAATAGGAATCTTTCCAAATATAAAAGCATTATGAGCAGATTACAGTTAATACTGAGTTATTTTCAGCGCGTTCATTTACTCAGTTCTAACGTGGGCGTTGCACAAAAAGATCACTGCTGGAAGCCCTGACAAAATTCTTTCTCTGCTGTGTCATATGGGCAGAGAGCCTGCAGTTATCGAGTTAGCGGGGGCTCTATCTGTCTTCCAGTCTTCTTTGACTTGACCACAGTTGCAATCCTGGAAGGGGTAAGCTACAGTATCTGTGTGTCCGTGTATCCTCCACCCCTGAGACCAAATGCCAAAAGTGTCTGAAAACGGAATTTTCTCTGATCCCGTTTGTTGTGCTGTCTGTTGAAATACCTCCAGCGTAGCAGTTTTGTGTGTGTTTGTATGAGAGGCAAATATGTTAATAACAGTCATACTGTATCTCTGGACCTCTGGACCTTTCACACTGTCACTGTCACTGGTGTTGAAATGTGCCTGTGTTTGTTTACAGTACTGCACAGAGGAGTGAATATAACACAAGTCTCTAACGCAAGCTGAAACTCACACTCTTGTGGCGTAGGCGCTTATCTATTTGACTTCCCTTTTTTTTTTTGGTCTGCTGGGTGAAATGCAGACGCGAGCAGAGAGGCCAAATGTGGTGAGGCAGCGTGCATGATAAATGAACTTCACTAGCCGAGTCATACGGGAATGGGAAATAAAAAGCATCCACACACGCCCTACCTGACAGTTTGAGCACGGCAGCTTTGTGCTTCTATTGCTGCTCATTAAATCCAACCCGACTCATAATAGCGGCTTGATTCAGCCGGACACTGATGAATAATCGGCCACAGTGGCTGATGCCAACAATTAATGGGACCAATTTCTTTTTGGAAAAACAGCTGTGCTTGACGAAGCGTTAGCTGCTCCATTTATTAATTGGGCGCCATCATTTCCTTATTCCTATTTCTAACTTCTTTCTTCCACTGCTTTCTGCCTCTGCTTCCCTCCCTTCCTGCTGGGGTAGAAGTTGGAAACCTGAATCATGCCGTTCTGCTTGTTGCTGTCGGGCAGAGAAACCAGCGAATCAGTGCAACAGCTCCACTCAGCAGCATAGGGATTTTCACAACACTGAACATCACAATCTCACAACATTATCTGAGGCTATAGTGGGAAATGGCTTAGCGCTTAAACTGTCTGTGCTTCTGAGCCAACTGACACTGACTGGCAGAAATGTTGGGCCAACAGAGTTAAAATACTGCTTAGCACATCCAGAGTTATGACTGAATTACAAAAGAGGAAAATATTTTTTTTAAACAAACAAAACCCTTTTTTTTTTTTTAGCTCGGACTGAAGAAATAATTCAAACTGGGAAACTAATTACGCTGTGTGAAAAAAAAAATAGTTATGCATACAAAATAGCTCAATTTTCCACTACTACACCCATTCTGCTTGTGGTGTGACTGACAGCTGAGGAGAAAATGACACCTACACTTGTGGCTGCAGAGTGCCGAGGAAGTTGTCAATGCGTTCCTGTGGCACGTCCCCGTCTAGCTGAGCCAGGTAAGTGTAGAGCCTGACAAAGGTGTCGAACGGGATCTTTGCGGCACCACCCATCTCATCCTCTGTTAGGATCTCGCAGGCAAACTTAAGCGAACTGATAAGAGTCTGAGGATTTGTGTTGCCACAAAAACAAAGAATTAGTTTGCTGTTGCATCGCATTTAAGCAAGACACACTGCAAATATACTTGCATGCACACACTGTAACTCAGACAGCTAAATCTAAGTAGCATAAGAGTGCCCTCGTGTGGTTAAAGTGTTCAAGAGCCTTGAAAACAGGAGTAGAATTCTACCCAAATTACTAACACTGAGCACATAATGCTGTTAATGCTTAGCTGCATTTGCTTTCCTAGACACCAACTTATCTTCTGTAAAGTTCTTCATGCTTAAATAAATTCTCTTTGATCTGTCACTACTGCTCTATCTGAATCTGTGAAGCCAAAAAAAAATATCATTGGCTTAACAGCGAAGCAAAGATTCAAGTAGTTGCTGAAGGATTTATCCAGTCACTCTTTTCTGGAGCCAGGGGACCCCGATGATGGAGACTGCATTGCAAATTCCTGGATCTAACATTAACACCTGGAGACTAGAGTGTGCTGCTGGAGGATCTCCAGCTGTGCTTGGCCTCGCACCAGGTTTTTAAGGCTCAAAGGAAGAAGTATATAAAGTTGTATTTGCATTTATAGCCAGGATTGTGAACACCTCACCCCTCCAAGAGCGCTGCAGCCCAGGGCAAAAAACTCCATCCAGTCAATATCTGAGCCAAAGCTGCCCAGCGACAGCAGGGTCTCCAGCTGAGCCACAGGTAGACACAAGCCCTTCCACTTCGCCTGCAGTTCCTCTTTGCTACAGGTTGTCTTGGGCGACAGCTATGATTTGATGATAAAAAAAAATGGGGGGTTAGGAGACTTTAGGGGGGGAAATCTAGTTATTCACTTTCTAGATAAAATCTGAAATGAGTCCTATTTCCACAAATAAACAACAAGGTTGGATATGGAGAATCTGGTGGCTCTATTTACTTACAATCTCTTTTTTCTCTAGACTTTTATATGTGGACAGCCAGGGCATAAATAACCGCAAATACTGATGCACAGTAATCCAAATAAAAAGTAGATTTGAGCAGGATATAAACACTAATAATAATCTCTCAAATAATGGCACAGATCTGCATTTGTTTTGCATCCAGATTTTCTGGATTTCTTTCAGACTTTCTACTATCAATGCAGTTTAAAATGTTACAAAATGAATAACTCGAGACAACAAAAGAGCAGCACTCTCACAAGATTAATGCTGCCGCTTAAGTGCTAGCTTTTAAGGAAATATTAATTATTCATTTCTTTTAATGAATCCGCCACACCGAGATGCCAGTAAACAGCCCAGGTGAGATAAAATGGATTTAAGACAATATGAAACTTTAATGACCCACACGGGAAACATCACTGCTATATGGAGACACACACATAAAAACACGCATAAAAGAATAGAAGAGTAATCAAAGTTGGACATTAAACTCAATGGAAGTTATAATTATACCCATAAAAGCAAAACAGTAAATGACGAAACGCAAATATGTGATAAAGTAAATGCATTTATTTCTTTCAAAAGCAACAGTGAGAATTAAAATTTTATTTGTGCGACAACTTCTACAGATTACGAGCCTGCTGTTGAGAAACTACCTGTTTGTGGAGGATCTTCAGAAGACCTGGAGTCAACCCAGTGTCCGTCTTCTGGGTGGCAACATTTAATTCCAGCCTGTCCTTAACAGGCAGACACTCTCCTTTAGACAGAGCACTGAAGTATCTGGAAGAGGACACAGTCATAATAATTAGCAAAGAATTCTTAAACACTGTGTTTAGCATCACCATTCTCAGAAATTCATCTGCCCCCAAGCTTCCTAAGTATACCATTCAAATATACCATTTGCTTTTCTTTGTAAGAGGTCTTCCAGGCATGCTGTTGCATATTTCACTTCATTATTAGAAAAGAAAAATTATAACTTTCCATGCATTTACTGACTTTCAGGATCTCTGAAAGGGAACAGAGTATTACTTTAATAACATAAACATCTCATCACCCAGGAGGCGCTCGATTTGTTTTTTTGCTTCACTGTATGACTCACTTTATTGTCTATTGCTATAAACAAAGCCAAGCTACATTGGTCAATAAAAAAGAAGAGGATGCTGAGAGTCCTTAGAGGTAGGAAATAAAAGGTAAAAGAAAATAAATTGAATATTTCCATATCATCGAGTGCTTTTAGCATGGTTTTTCTTTATTCGAGACAGTAAGATAGTTTAACTGCTGCACTAACATGAAAGCCCTTGGGATCTAATTACAGCTAGTCAATGCAACGATAAGACACGCACAGGTGAAAGGGGCCTGCCTTTCCCTACAGTGATGTAGCCTGGAGACATGGTTTATGCTCCTGTTTGTGAGAATTAAACTGGAATAAAACACAATCACACATATCTCTACTCTTAACCTGAACCTTCATTGACAGACATTAAGACTTACGCCGTAGACCACTGCAACAAATCCTTGGGCTGTGTTCGGATGGCTGCCTTAGTAAAGTCTTTAAGGATGTCTGGCAGCTCAGGAGGGATGTTGATTTGCTGGGCACAGTAGAATGTGTCTGGAAGAGGCATGGCTGTAATATAAACAATGCAATAATGTCCAATTAGTTGAAAAGAAATAGAATCCAATAGAAAATTAAAAACTACACTAAAAATCACCCGCACTGACAATAAAAACATAATTAATATAAAGACTGCATTCTGGTGCTTCAAATTTTTCTGTGCTAGCCATGGGAGTTTGACAGGAATATAGACATATGATTATGAATACAGTGTGTTTCAAAGAAGTAAGTTTAAAATTTGCATATACACTCTCATCTGGTATCGTTTTTTTTACCGATTCAACTTAATAAATTAATACTAATTTCTAGTCCACCAAACATTTTCTCCCAATTGTCCCTCTCCTTTGTTCAACTACATAATTATAGTATGTTCACCGACATTAATCCACTGTATGGTACTTGCTTTACAAACTGTAGCCTGTTACCTGGACTGATGAACAGAAAGTCACCGGAAGACGCCCCTGAAATATGAGTTGCTAGCCTAAGTAATGGTTATTTATGCCTAGCAGTTCATGGGAGTGTTGTAGCGTCGTCGCATAGCAACGGCGTCTTCTTCTTCTTCTCCCTGTGGTATTAGAAACCCCACGGGAAGAGCACTACCGCCCCCTCTGCTGAAAACACTGTTCCTGGTCCTTGCTCAGTCATCCAGCTAAGGAAATCCCAGAAAGTTGATTCTGTTCATGTGGAGGCAGCGTTATCTGTCTGACGAAAATAACATGACACCCATGGAGAACACCGACATAAATCTCAATACTCAGTCAGAAATATTCCTCCAGTGAAAAAAACAGGTGCACAAAACACCACTTTCAAAACTTTTTACTTAAATAAGAGCTAGAATCAGTAGCACCAGTGGCCCGTTCTATGCTGTATAATGGTTTGGGGCACTATAAGACAGTACTGTAGTAATATTTCTAATACAGTGACTTTGATGGGGCAGCCTATCATATTTCAGGATGCAGGCCCCTTTGCTCCCCTTCTAGACACCCCCCTGCTGTAAGGAACAAATGAATCATTCATCCTAATTTAGAACTATTAATGGAATATTTACACAGATATACAAAAGGGCATTTTCAGCAGAGATCAGTGTTCAAACAGCATACTGTGCTCCCTCACCTAAGTTTATTGTAGTAAGACTAACTGATCATTGGGAAAATACCTTTTCCCTCATGTTAGTTACGCTAAAACCTGTCGGTCAAATTGAATAAATGATACATTTAATCAGATATGTGTTTAGAGGAATCTTTATGGGTTTTATTACAGTCTCAAAACTTTAAACATAAACTTTCTTTTGAAACTGGTCACTGGCTTTAATATTTTTATTAAGATAAAATTTAACTTTAGATAGAAAAGTGGAAGACCAAAGTAACACTGCAAAAGGACAAACACATTAGTTTTGAGTTTAGAGAGACTGATGTACCCTCAGAAGGCCTCTTAGGTCCGGACTACATTATAAGGAATCTGTAACCTAGACTGTGCTTGTTTTTTAAAGGGACAGTAGAAGTTAGTGTGAAAGCGTTAATTTTAGGGCAACTTCCCAAACTTTGGCATTATATGGCTTACAGCCTTGAACGCTTCATAGTACGATTATGTTGTCACAAACAGTCTGGGTTAACTTTGCTTCGTGTGATGACTTGAAAATATATCAGATGCAGGAAGAGCTGCTGCAAAGCATGTGACATACAACATATTGATGACAGAGTTTTTCCTGTGTCAACACACATTTATTGAAGTGATGCCACAAACAGGCAAAACATCATATTGGAGATTTTATTATTAAACAGCTTCTAGAAAATTCAGGATTCCACAGACTGTGATTAGAAAATAATAACAACAACATGGACAATTTAAAAAACAAACAAAAAAAAAAGCAGAATATCTGACCCCCGACCAGCCCCAGTACTCAAAGGAAATATGATCAGACCAGAGAGACAATTTCATACTTGTGTGACAGAAACACATGCACATTCACACAATCACCGTCAGGTCACATACACTGGAAAGTGCAGATTTGTTCTAGCACATGTAGAAACTGAGCAGGTACAATATGCATATGAAATCCCTTTCAAATTCAACCAACTTAACATCTAATGAAGTCATGTAATACGAAGAGCACAGAGTTTCGAATCTCAAGTTCTTGCAACAGTACACAGGGGCAAAACACCAAAAACCATAATGTGTCTAAAAGTAATTAATGAGGATGGAGTAGCAAAAGAAAAAAAACAAAACACAGGTTACATGAGCTAGATAATGGACCAGCTCAAGGTTCTAGTCCACTTTTACCTCTCAAATCTCATATCTTTCTCTACTTGATATAAAAATAAAACTGTGCTTCTCAAAAAAAACCAAAAACAAAACAACAACCCTGGACGCTCCGGAGCCTATAAAACTATCTAGGATGTAATATTACACTCCTTTGATACTTCAGACGGGAACTCTGCCACAAACATTGCTCCATAAATCTTATCTGATCGTTTCCTGGACGAACCTTGGGCCACGTGATCATTTGGGAAGCGCTCGAGTGCATTTCTGTGATTGACAGTTTGTGGAGCACAGCAGAACCATTTCAAAGCATTAAAAAAAAAAAAAAACGGAAAAAACGTTGTCTTATAAAATGTTCTGGCTTAAGCAATTTCTCACCAGTAACTGAGCAATTTGCAAGTGAGCCAACAATCCCAAAAGCATTGTAGCACCACAGACCAAAGTGTGCAGAAAGAAAAACATTCTGAAGCAATGCAAATGAGCTAAATCCATGCTTAAAATGATATATATGCTATTTTATCCTGTCTTTACATGCCGCTGCCTACTGTATTGATTTGGGTCCTCCCTTCTTTACCAAAGGCAAAAGTAATCACTGCTAAAAACAGAGTCACTCGTGTACTTCTGCTCTAATTTCTGTAGTCTAATCCCTCTGCAGAGTTGGATCCAACAGGAAAACGTGAATGTGGGTAAATTAAAAAGAAATGCATGTAGAAGACTGGACAATTCAGAATAGCGTATTTCCTCTGTTTTGGTTGGGTAATGGTCATTTTAGCATCGTCTTCTATGCTTTTGGGAGATCAAGCTGTACTTGCTACAAACCCATAGCTGGTCAGCTGCTCAGTAACATGCGTCTATCATTTCCCGTTTCTATCTCTTGCCCCTTTTGTTACCAGCTGGGGGCTTCTTCAACTGGAGTAAGGGTGCTGCTGTGGCAAAGCCTCCAGGAGGTGGGTTAGACACGCCAAATGTCAGGCCGGCAGAGGGGTTGATGCCAGGGTTGCTGAAGTTGAAGCCTGAACTGTTGGTGCTACCAAAACCTAGTAAAGCAAGACAAGGAACAAAAAACAAAAAACAGTCAAATACGAGAAAAACAAAAAGATAAAACATGAATAACATGAGGATTTAGAAAATCTGGTGTCAGAAAAAGGAAGTTCAAATGAAATTCAGGTTTTTTAATAAGGATTTTGCCATCCTAGCTTAAAACCCCCAAGGTTCTAAAGTGCCAACACACACAAACAAACATATATACACATAACTGTATTTACCCACTGCTGGGACGTTCATTATAACTTTAAAATATGGATATACTAAACTTGTTGCAGTGCCATTTACATTACACTAATGAGACACAGTTACAGCTTAGACCCTTTCCAAACTTTATACACTTAGCGAGCTGAGCCTTTATTCTTTGTTGCCATCATGTTTGGTGGCCCAGGTGTTAAGGTGCTATATACAGCATGTATTGTACCTGCACTCAGACTGCCTCCTGTGGGCTTATTGGTGGAAGAGAAGGCAAAAGAAGACCCCCCAGTCCCCACCCCACCAAATCCTGGCCCACCACCAAAACCTGTGGGAGAGAGTGACATGGAAGTCAGACTGGTCTAAGCACACAGCCTAGACTAGATACAAAAACAAGAAGCGCCTCAGGAGTTACACACTGGCAGGCATTAGCAGACAAAAGCAAGCAAAAAGGAAAAAAAAAAGAAGTCATAAACTAATCCACAGAGCACCACACTTGGCTTAACTTCTGACCGAATACTGCAGAATCAAACAGGACTCACAGTGCACTACACCGCAAAGCAAAGGCCAAAGGAAGAAAAACGGCAGATTTCACCGAATACCCAAACTACGAGAAAACAGACAATACTTTTGAGTGCGCTCAGACCACTTGCTTCCACACTCTCAAGTGGATTTGCAATTTGACATGCCCGTATTTTAACACCACAGCGTTTCGCCGTGACAGCTGAGTGAAACTGTTTACCAGGTAAAAACTGTCCGATAGGATTGCAGTTTTTGTGTGTGGTGTGAACGCACTTGACTCCTCGCAAAAGGCAGAGCAGAAAAGAGAAACGGCTAAGCTCTGACTGCACCACTCTGTCAGACACATACACACCAGCTGCTTAGTCTGTCATACAACCTAACTCAAATACATTTTCTTTAAAAAGCCACTTTGATTTAACCACCAGGTAACATTAGGGGAAATGGCAAAGTATGCAGGGGTCTAGCAAAAAATAAAACACACGAGAGAACAGGGAATATTCATTTAAAAAAAAAAAAAAAAAGCAGAGGTAATACCTCCCAGGGTAGAAGAGCCCAAGCTAGTGCCCAATGCTGAGGCAAAGGGGTTTCCAAACCCTGCCCCCAGAGGCGCCTGGGTCCCTAAGGCACAAAGAGAGAGCACAGGCTTTTACTCTTCTTTTATGTGAGACAAAAAACACAAAGTAAACTGCACTGCTGTCACGCTGACAGCTTTATTTTAGCTTTAGAAACAAGTCCTGCAGTTGATTCAAATAAAATATGATAATCTGATCTAATGACTGCGCCGACAGAGGCATCAAAAGACTACAGCATCTAATTAACTGCAACCTCACATGAGCTGAAATATGACAATAATTAGGCAACGGATCAGGCTTTCACAAAGTACATATGAATATGTACCATCCTGCTATAAAGGCTTTCAACTATAATATTCCAGCTAATCAGCAGCGCATTTATCACTGCTGGCAAGCTGGGAGGGAAAAAGGAAGCACTGCTAGTTCTTTCACTCAGAAACTTGTCTTGTTTTCTTTAAGCGTTCTCTTTTATCTTATCAAATTTGGGAGCTTTTCAATTAGTCTACATTCTTAAAACAAGTTCAGTGAAAAAGAAACAAGGACAAGCGTTTCTTTGTTTAAAAACCAATTTATTTTCAATTAAATATGCAATTCCACTTACATAAAACACAAACAAACAGTTTGGAACAAAAATTGGCTGTTAATTGCTAAGTGCTACTGCATTTGACAAGTTTCCAAATTCAAGATTTCTGAGAGTGAATGAACTAGCATACCTAAAATTTAATTTAAAAAAAACTTTTTAAAAATGCATCACACAATTACTGAATATAGCTTTAAAAGGCACAACATATTTATAGATTAAATATACTGTATCAACAGGCATTGGATATATAAGATTAAAACACAAGGTTACAGGTAAAAGCACTGGAGAATTAGATAAGAAATGTGAAAACGGCATTCATGGCTGCCTTTCAGTGTAAACTGGTCAAAACAAAGAAAATCAGTGATTTGGTACAGTTTGCCTGTGAAAGACAGTGTGGTCAAGTTTTGAGTCATGCGTCCAACATAAACTGAAGGACCTTTGTTACGTTCGTTTAAATAATTTTACACCGATTTTGAAAACAAAAGCTCCATTGTAAATTACTATAAGCTACAAATCCGTCTTTGTTGGATCGAGTCTGACTTTAGAGAGAGATGACAAGCTAAAACCTGCAAGAGATTGATTTTTTTAGTCTAATTTCAGATAACTAACAGTAAATTCTACTGGTTCCAAAACACCCTGTAATAGTCATGCCTCCTGAACGCCACTAGCAGGGGAAAAAACAAACAAAATACTAAACACTATAAATGACAAAGAATATGGAAATGTTTTGGAGATAATAGCAACATTCAAACAGTCAACTAATCAGGCCCATTATTGTGAACTGTTGTGCTCAAGCTTAACACACAGAAAAACAAAGATACCAAAAGGTATAATTCAGATTCATTACTGAGCATCTCAGATTCATGTAGGCAAATTGTGACACTGGTAATCTACCTACCATTTAGAAAATAAATAAATAAAAAGTCACATTAATTCCTTCACTTCTTTTATAAAAGGAAAAAAGAGGTAAATGGGAACAGCTGTTATATTAGCACTCGTGAAAATACAGCATTTGCATACACGTTACTGACAGTGAGAAGATACCTACTAGAGAGTATTAATGTGGCTTAATATCCACAATTACCTTCAAAGTCAAAACAACTTTGACAGACCAATAATTATTACATTATTTAATAGTCATTATTGTGCCAAGTGAGACTGTAGAGGTGTGGAAGACGATATTTTAAAGTGTGAGCAAAACTGCACAGAATGTCAAATTCTGGATGAGTGTGGACTTCCATTTAAAGGACTTCCATTAAATCCTACAAAAACAAACAAAAACCTAGCGTTTGATAAGAGGACTGACTGTCCAAAAGCAGCAGTGTTTTCATTAGCAATTAATCATTTAGGTTGTTTTTTTACCCATACACCACCGTAATCAGCAGCAGTATGCCGATGATTACTGGAAGTGGGTTCAATGAATTCCTGTTTGTATCGCGACATGTTCAACGGCAGTTTTCCAATCTTTATTCCTCTGAGTGCCAATACTGCTGAGCTCGCAGCACTATCTACAACAAGCAATGCTGTATCCTCAGATGAGAAAAATGGTGGGAAAATAAACTCCCCTGTACAATCAAGACACACAATGTGGCCATACAGACCAGGTTCTTTTGGCACTAATGTATCTCACTGGTACTTATGGACCAGTGTGAGCAGCAACAAATTGTTCTCTTCTGAACTACCAAACAGTTAAACCAACAAGAAAAGTAGACTTTTTACAGAATTGAGAAGCAAATGTCTGTACAACATACCATCGCCTTGGATAAAATACCTGAAATCACAACTTGTGAACAGCTCTTTAGCTCCACATTTTCTCTGAAATGAACTCTATGTGAAATGATCCAGCCCTGTTGCACTGACTGTAGCCCTTAAGTGAAATCACTTTCATCAAGTTACAGTGGTATGGCCTTTATTAAAACCAAACCAGCCAAATATATCAAGGTATTGAACAGTGAGATAATGCACACACTTACTGTCACTGCTGACAATTCATTATCCAAATGATCTGTCCACATAAAAGACCAACCTCAGCTCCTTGTTCACAACACAAACACACTGAGAACACTGCTTCATTTAGGCCAGTAAGTGACCAGGGCTTTTCACCATTCTCAGCCTTAGTTCCACTAGAAAAAAAAAGTACATTTCAGAGTTATTTTCAGTCCTGAGTCTTTTGGTACCTTAACCCAATGTCCATGGAGACAGAAATCTGAACAGTGTAGGCCCATTCTCATCTGGCATGTGTACAGGTCGGATGTGAATCTACCAAAAAAAAACAAAAAAAAAACAAAAAAAAAAACGCCCCACTCCAGCCCACTGCATCTTTAAATGATGTGATACTGACCACCCTCCAACATGACATTTCAATAATGACCCAAGTTTAAGGTTGACCTATTATATTTCGAGCTCTACTTAGATTTGCATGACTCACGTCCCCTCAGTTCATCCACTGACTGAAACAAACCTGTTTTAGCTCCTCTCTCTTCAGTCAACTTTCTTCTGATTGGCTGCCCCTTGCAAAAAAAAAAAAGCTGTGAAAAGCAGGTGGGTGGGGCTACTATAACCATATTAATGATAATCCTTTGTTATTCAGTGTGTGAATGTGAGAGTGAATGAATAGAGGAATTGTAAAGCGCTTTGGGTGCCTAGAAAAGCGCTATATAAATGCAATCCAAACAGTGTCATGAGTTAAGAAAAAAATATTAGAAAACTTGCATTTAGAGTTCTGAAGGCTGAGTGTTTGGTTTGCTGGGATTACTTGTACACTAAACTCATTTTGAAACTTTCAACATGTTTAATATGCAACAACTAAATGAATCTAAACAGGTCACCTTTAAGCAGAAAAAATAAATATATAAATAAATATACTAGCCTGCAATTAGGCTTAGCAGAAAAGGTGGGAGATTTGCTAAATAAAGCAATCAATTACCCTAGCCAAAAATAATTTACAAACCCGACTCATGTTAACCTCATATACTACAGCCTTGTTGGATAGCTAGCATATCCAGAGCACAAATGGATAAAATGAACAAGTGATCAAAAAAAATTATTTGATTTTTAATGAAATTTAAAAAAAATCTTAAGCAGGCACCGAGGTGGTGTGCACTTCTACCACACAATAATAACTATTGTGGCTTGTGTGTTAAGTTGTTGTTATTTTTTCTTTTTCAGTAAACAGTGGCTAAGGAATGGATTAGTTAAATAGTCCCATACCTACTTGGCACATAGTTAATTAGTTTAGGTGTTAACGTACAACTCCATCTGCATACCCAAATAAGTGTTCAAAAGTATGTGAAATATTCATTAAAAATGGAAAAATTAGCAAACATCTGGTGGGCAGCAGATCTGATAACAGTCAAAGCACATCTCATGAGCTTTGTCAAATGAGTAGAGATCAGACTAACATTTTTAAACCAACCTGCCTTTACATCCCATCAACCTTTGAAGTTACGTCAATAAAGAGACTGCAAAAGCATGCTAATATATAGCTTAGTGTGTTAGTTGTATGCAGGTACCCTGATGTGCCAGTAAAAATGGCTTACAACTCAAACCAGATGTTGCAGTAAATATTCTTAAGGTTATGTTGGCTGTAGTTTAACAAAACTGAATTTGAGTCCTTGACTGCTCAGTATAAGAGTCTCATTTAGATATTTTAGGATATAAGCTCCTACAAAATGCCAAATCAATTTCCGATTAAACACAATGTTTAATCCGTGTATTTATGCCTAATACAACGTACTTAATAGTATTTTTTTTGTTACTGTCAAAGAGTAGAAAGAATTTGACAAACAGCATGACAGTCAAACTGTAAATGTCATTAGGTTAAGGTTATTTAGAGAATGGTTTCTCTAAAGTGAATATCTGTGTCTAAACTAGACATTTTACTTGTAAGACCTTGGGCAACAGAAGCTGTGTGCTTGAAGGAACGGTGGGGATGACAACTTTAATATATTCTCTTCTTATTTTACTACCCTGTATATTCAGAGAGGAGCACGTTGATTCGGTGTCAGATTAACTGGTGTTTCCCACACGTCTGAGATATCATTCGGATTTAAGATAGCTGGGGCTACATTGCCATAGACGTACACCAACTCAACGCCCAGACTGACGTGACAAAAATCTAAAGATGCACCACTACCTGGACTAATCATTCAGAAACCACAAAATTCACAGCAAGTGCATTAATTATCCTAACTTCATTACACAACAACCTCAACTGAGTACTAGGCTCACTTTTAGCATTGCTAAAACAAAACAAAACCCAAAACTGAGGTTTAGAAGTTTCCAGATTCAAAATGAGATTGCTCGACTTTTTCCACCACTGTGCATTTTCCCCAGTGATGTCAGCCATAAAGCTGCTCTGGTATCCCATTAGAGAGGGCACACGGAGGAGGAGAGAAATTAACAGAAGGGATTTGGTCTTCATTTTGCACTGGGGCCATCTATTTAATGTCCTCACTCTTGAATTGTAAGGTGCATAAAATAAATGTTTCCAACCCTTGTACTGAGAGTCAGAGACAAGACGGTAAGGCAGCACAAATGTCTCCTGTTAAAGTTAAGCAACAGATTTCTCTCATTTCTTCCTTTCTAGCCTCTTTTCATTCACTACAGAAAGCACAGATACCTTAACACCAGATAAGGCTGCTGTTACTTTTGTACTTTTAATCATCCTCTCTCACCTTTTGAGTTATTTGCTACCAAAATATGTTAAAAGCACACTGATCCTGTCTTCTCCACAACTTGCTTTTATTATTGATTCTCCTTCCTCTCCTTCAGTCTCCTAACAAAGGAGAAACTTGCTAGAACTTGTAGGCAGTCAGACCTGGAGTTGGCTGCTGTTGCTGGGTCAATGTGGCTGCCATGGCCACAGCTGCAGCATTGGGCACACTGGAGAACGGAGCAGGCCCAGTAGTGACTCGCGGCGTGCTCTGCCATTTCCTGTTAGACACCCGTTTGGACTCAAACACATCCGTGGAGTCTTCCAGGAAGGCTCTGCGGTAGGAGAGGTACTGATGCTTCAAAATCTATACCACAAGACACCAGAGAGAAAGACACGTTAAATGAAAACGCTACAACTGCCTCGTCACCCAGTCCTATACATTATTACACATTACATTTCAAGCAATGCGAATGAGGATCTTTTTATTATTATTATTATTATTATTAACATATGTAAAAGCAGGAGGGAATAAACTGACCTTGACATTCTCATGGACAGACTGGAGCTGGGCGGCCTGTGCGACAAATGTTTGGTACAACTTCTGCATGGCCAAGGTCAGATCTGTAAACAAAAGCATAAAAAAATGTCTGCATAAATATTTGATGTATTTTAATAAAACGGGGTGGGTTACAGAAAAGAAAAGAACCAGAAACTGTCTTTTTTCTCTTCATCTTGAATGCTAACACATCTGTAGCCTGTTTGTTAATGAAACATGTAACACTGTGATCAAACCGAACTTTAACATGAACAGAATTACGTTAACAGCCAGACAAATGTGTTCTCACCCTGAGGAGTGATGTGAGAGCCGCTGCTTTGGGTTGTCAGGTGGTTCTCCAGCTCCTCTATCTGCTGCCGGTACTGCTGAAGCTGCACCTCGAATTGCTCTACCAGGCTATGGAAATAACTACACACAAAAGGGACACATATTTTAAATCTCAGTACATTAAGCAATGGTCATTATTAACCTTTTGAATCAACTATTAAGAGAAGCTTTTTGACAAAAACATCCACTGGCCAAGTGTATTTTTTTATTGCTGTCCTATGATATTAAAATGAAATAGAGTCGTTTGAAACAGAGTCTATGAGAACTAAAGGACTGCAATAGCACACATTGACCTTGGATTTACTTTCTGACTTTCATCCAATAGCTTACTTACTCTGATGGAGCCGTATTCTCGTGCTGAAGTCCAGGGGGGGTCTTTTGTGTACGAAGTGCTATGTCAGCATTTTTCAACTTCCTTAGCAACAAAGGAAAGAGGAAAGTCAAACATCTAGAAAAAAAAAAATCTGTGAGATTTCCAAGGGAAACTTTTTCATATTTTTAGTTTGTGAGGTATAAGGAACAGGAAAGGTTAACCCACATATTAAGTTCATCTGAAGTCCAATTTAAAATAATTCTGTTTATCTTAGGTACAGCTACAGACGTTTTGGGAAATGAACACCGATACTGAACTTCCTGACTTATATATTTTGCAACACTGCATACACTATATATTGTGTATCCACTAGAAGTTTGGAATGCAAGTTTCTGATTTACTGACTTTCTAATGACAAATAATGTGCATCAGAAATAGACACCTGTGTCAACATAAGTACACCGTTTTTACCTGTGCCGTCTCCAGTTTCAGTTTGTCGATGGCCAAAGCTTGGCGCTGCAGACCGCTGGCGCTGACGGACAGAAGCTGTTTGAGGCTCTTGATGTCATCTTGGACTTTAGAAATGGCTTTTGATGACATTCTGCTTATATCCTCCTGAACTTGTTTTTGCTCTTTCACAAATTTTCTGCAAAAGAATTAAGAAAAGAAGGAAATCACTTGTAGATGACATAAAAGCTCCCTGATAGATATGGCAAACTATCAAAATATGCTTTCAAAGTGCTACTACTCAAACTATATGTATGCATCTGGGATTTTACACAGAATGGGGACTCCTAGAGACCTCACCAGATAAAATTTGGGTTGGGTCATACTGCTGCATTCAACCTATTAAACACCCGATTTAAAAAAAATTAAAAAATAAATAAATCACACAACGATACTTACTGAAAATTTTCAACATCCTGACAAATAACTGGGGGCAGGTTCTCATCTTTTAGAGCTTTGCTGTCCCTGAGGGTGAGAAAAAGTGTTTTTCATCATTAGAACAGAAAGGATAGTCGGTGCTAAACATTAACAGCAGAGTGAGACATTAGACATATTCCATAAGACAGTAAAGGACCGTGTTGGTCAGCAGGACGTACTGCGCATTGGCTCCAGATGATGTGTCGCTCTTATTCTCAGAGGAAGTGCTGAAGTCGACTCCACCCAGGCCGATACTCGGAGCAGGAGCTGCTGATGACGCTGTCGAGGTTGCCAGCAGAGAACCGAACGATAACCCGCCTCCTACACCAAGAGTAGTCTGACTCAGACCTGCGGCAAGAAATAGTCATACAGTTTATAGAACTGTGACAACTAATTAAAACGAACATTCTGTAATTCAAAGCATTCACTGTACTCCCACTTGGCCATGTATTTAACACATCAGCTCTGTAAAGCTAACAGTTTGCCTCTCACCTGTAGGCACAGTGCTGGAGAAGAGACTGCTGCCTAGTGATGGACCTGTTAAGGCTGCCGTGGTGGTGGTCGTAGTTCCGCCGAGACCGAGGGCAAAGCCAGTGGCTGTAGGCTGCTGTGGAGCAGTGGAGGTCAGGACAGAGCCAAACGTCAAGCCTGTCCCAGCAGCGGCTGTCGAAGAGGTGCTAGTAGCTGTGAGGGAGAACGGCGTAGCTGAGGCTGTGGGCTTGTTGAAAGCCAAGCTAAAGCCAGTGGTGGCAGCTGTATTGGCTGGGGCACCTGAGAGAAAGTAATTGTTTATTTAAAAAAAAAAAAAAAAAAGTTAAAAAAAAAAATCACAATTATTACCTGTTGTTCAGAAGCTCTTCAACTTAAAAATACCCCAGAGAACCCCAAACATACCTAATGTGAGGCCTGTAGTGGGCGCAGCAGCACCTGAAATAACACAAGGTCCCAACATAAGATGGGCAGCTGGCAGAAATATCACAAATACTTTTATTTCTTTATTATTTTGCATTCTTACTTGAGGCAGGTGTATTGAAGGAGAATCCTCCAGCAGGTTTCTGAGCAAAAAGACTGCCTCCTAGGCCAAGAGACGGGGTGCTGGTGCTGGTGCTGGGGGTTGCACTTGCTGTACCCAAAGGTGTACCAAAAGAAAAGCCACCGGTATTGGCCGCAGGAGCACTTTCGAAGAAAAAAAGTAATGTGTTTAGGCCCATGCATTCTTCTACAATATCTGCCAAGTTTCAAACTAATACAAGATTGACATTGTGTTATGGTTACAGTACACACAGATTAACAACTAGGATTTTGTCGAAGAAAATACACAGGGTCTTAAATTTCTATATAGAAAACCTAAATGGTGATAAGTGTTTTACAGATGGATGGTAATCCCAATTACCAGTAATGAACTAATTTCCCTCTTAAAAAATAAAAACTACAACTACTATAGCTTAATTGTCACTTCAAAGACTTCTCTTGGCAGCCCGCAATTTGCAAGAGTTCACTCTGCAGTGCGTGCATGTGCAAAGTTTCAAATAACAGAGTTTACAAATGTATCCAATTAAAATGCTCATCTATAACCCGACATTGCTGAATAGCTCGGGAAAACAACGTACCCAGCACTGACTTTGAAACTAGCAAGCCGTATCTGCTAACGCCAAGATACCTCTGGTTATGCTAGCGTTAGCTAAGTGGGCTATCTAAAATTTGTCGTTACCTGGTTGCGGCCCCAAATGCCAATCCTCCACCTGTGTTGGTGGACCCAAGAGTTCCCGAACCAAAGTTAAAGCTAGACATTTTCTTTTAAAAGGCACGGTGTCAACACCAATCGGTTATGTGGGCTTAGCTCACTTCTGAAAACATCACAGCTAACACGACAGTTAGCTTAGACGCCCGCGTGAGGGCCGAATCCGCGGTCCCGTCTTCACCAAAACATACTTGAACTCATCAGCTCTCTCACTAAATCCCAAAATATTCAGTTGCCACCTGTTATGTTTACACAACCTGTTCCTCTGCTTCTATTTCTTAAACCTGACAATTATCGCAGGGTGCATTCACGCATGGTGTCACTTTTCTTATTCCCCGCCTGGTATATCCTAAATGCTAGTGCATTTTGGGTAGTGGATTTCCTTTCTTTCAACTACATTAACCGTCATCCCCTCAGATTTTGCGTCTCGTGATGTGTCACGCATGCGCATGGGGTTAAGTCTGGCAGTTCTGAGCAGCGGATGTATGTTGAATCCGGTGTTTCTTTCAAAATAAAAGAAGCAGCTACAGACTGATAACAACGAAGAACGGCTCAAAGTACACTAATGTATTTGCAAAGCTGAGTATAACTGGTTGCACAATGCTGTTTCAAAATTGTCATTGTCTTTGTGAGTTTAAATAATCTGTTACTTACCTGATAAACGAGCAACAGTTCCATTATTCTGAACCAGGGGCGGATGAATGGTTCACAGGTTTGTATCATTAATAGTTTTTGGTAACCTAATAAACCTAAAAAATTATGAAAATAAATATGTTGCAAATGTGTTATCTGAGTTTTTCCCAACATTTATTGCATTGTTCCACCTTTTTTGACCCAGAAATGTTGCAGACCATCTTTTGCAAACTCTGAAAAGTATATTTTATCAATATTAATGTCAATTAACAAATTAACTATTCTACATTCTACATTTCTTATTATAAAACAGCATATAAAAAATATTAATACATGTTTCAGCAGAGATTTATTCAGATCTTTTGACATTATGTTTGGGTTCTTTTTTGTTTGTTTTGCTCTCACTTTGATATTTGCTAGATGTAACCTGTGCACAGTCCTGAATTTCATCCTTTTTTAGAGGGTGCCAAGAGGAACTGTGGCACTGCATGAGGAAGTCAGCAGTGGCAGGGAAGTATGTGAGGCTGGTGCCGTACATTTGTTAGGACAGCAAGACAGTGGTGAGGTGTGTGGTAGGCAAGATGGAACCTAGCGACATGGAGAGAAGATGTGATCTGGAGAGAAGAGGAATGGAAATCAGAAGAAACAAGACAGAAACTGTGAGAGTCAGAGGGAGACATTTGGAACCATAAAGCTGCAAGGAACAGAGGAATGATAATGAAGTTGGATGAGTTTACCTGAGGTCACCCATCCGAAACAATGGACAGATTTAGAGATGAGATAGTCTGAACATGTGCAGAGGAGGGATGCTGTATCTACTGGTGAAACGATGTTGATTATAGAGGTGGCTGTAGCTCAGGTGGCAGAGCAGGTCAGCCACTCATCAGAAGGTTCGTGGTTCAATCCCAGGCTGCCAAATATCCTTGGGCAAGATACTAACCCCATGTTTGCCTACTGATGGTGGTCAGAGGGCCAGGGTCCGGCAGCCTCGCCTCTGTCAGTGCGCCCCAGGGCAGCTGTGGCTACAATGTAGCTTGCCATCACCAGTGGGTGAATGAGTGAATGACTGAATGTAGTGTAAAGCGCTATACAAATGCAGGCCATTTACCATAGAGCTGAGAGGGACAAGGAAAGAGAAAAACTTCAGAGGGGGTTTGTAGATATAGTGAAGGGGGCATGCAGGGGAGATGATCCGCTGTGGTGATCCCTAAGCATTTAGGTAGTCAAATGGCGACCCAATCTCTCCAGAGAAGAGCACACTTTGTAAGTATATTTGCTTTACTTTGACAAGTAAACATGCCAATAATTATAGGTTGTAAGTTTTTTGTTATCTTTTATCTTGATTTCATTTTAACTTTGCTTTTCATTCAGTTAGTTTCAGCTAGTTCCCAAAGTAGGTTTGAACGGTTTCAGTTCAGTTTTTATTGTTTGGAAAATGTTTAGTTTTAATCTTTTGAAGTATTATTGTTTTTAGAAAATATACACTACAGGAAGGATTTAGAAAAAAATCAGTGTAGATATTATGACATACAGACATTCAGAGTCCCAGTAAACCTGTCCATCAATGGCTCATTTTATTATTTTCCAAGTTCATTTCAGGTCGTTTTATTTATTTCAAAAATCTATTATTGTTTTTTTAATTAACTAAAGCGTTTTTCACATATAGTTTAAGTATTTAGGTTGTTTTAATTCTGATAACAGGCAGCACGGTGGCACGGTGGTTAGCACTGTTGCCGCACAGCAAGAAGGTCCTGAGTTCAATTCCAACATCAGGCCGCGGTCTCTCTGTGTGGAGTTTGCATGTTTTCCCCGAGTTTGCGTGGGTTCCCTCCAATAATCCAAATTGTCACTAGGTATGAATGTGAGTGCGAATGGTTGTCCCTGTGTGTTGGCCCTGCGACAGACTGGCGACCTGTCCAGTGTGTACCCTGCCTCTCGCCCTATGACAGCTGGGATAGGCTCCAGTGCCCCCCGCGACCCTGAAAAGGATAAGCGGATGGATGGATAATTCTGATAACTTCAAATTGCTTACAAACTCTGCCCTACAACCCCAACCACCAGAACAGTAAAGAAGTTGAATTTGATCCCGCTTTTATTTTGAAAACCCCCACCTCAAGTGCCGACGTACTTTGCGCAAGCTTTACGCGGATGGAGTGAAAATAATTGACAATAAACACATATCGTATGCCCCCGAAAAAGTGAAGGCGTCTTGTGCAGGAGTCGAAGCTTTCACATCATCAATGATTCATTTCAATCCGGAAGGTGTCGTTTGAAGCTTTGAAGTCGCTGACAGCTGTTTCGACCCGGGGGGGAAAATGGAGCATATCCGAACGCCAAAGGTAGCTAACGTTTCTTGCTAATTGCAAATGGATGGGATACAGTCGGCAGCTGGGCCTTGTCTGTTTGCGATTTTGTTGGAAGGCTCGAGTCAGGCTCCGTTTTCTGGCCATCAGTGTTCAGAGTGAATTTGTGTGAATCGACGTTATAGCGTAACGGCTAGCAGGTGTCGCCAACGACTCCAAATGTCAGCAGACGTGGCGAGCATCAATGAGCCGTTTGTTTTTCCCGTTCATCAGGAAGATCGGCTTCCTCTATCTAATTTTACTACTTGCACGCTCTGCTATTTATTGCGACAGATATCCACCGTCAGTACAGTCATTGAATTCAGTATGATTGAAGAAGCAAGGAAAAGCCGGGCCATATCCAGCACAGCACAGACTCGCAGGGCTGACTTGGACTGTACGTCAAATTGGGCGATCGCAGTTTTATCGTAAGCATAAAACGCCAAAACAGTGAGCTCACTGCCTGGGCTAAATCACTCCCAATAGACCAGATTTAAAGGAAAGCAACCAGCTGAAAAAGGCAAGACTCGAGGAGTGCTGCAGTACGAGTTTAGCCCTGCCAGGCCTGTACTGCTAGAAAATATACTGCTGTGTGTGTGCACAGCAGTATATGCAAGAGCTGATCCTTTTAACCCTTAAATCATTGATCCTTTCAAATCTGATCTGCAGCCACTCACAAACAACCAACAACAGCCAACAGTCCTAGTACATACTTCATAATCTTCATAATTCCTTTTAGTCTGCCATAAGGTGGCTCGGTGTGCTTAATTTTATCTAACGTCTCTGTTTTTGATCATATTAGGAAGCAGTATCACACGATTCTTGAGGTTCAATGACAATTGTGCTATTTGTCAGTGGGGAAAAAAAGAAATGCTGAGATGTGGCATGTAGACAGACGGGGAACACCCATGCAGAATGGGTGTTCCCCATTTTTCTCCACACCTCTCAGTGGTTTGTCTGGTTTAAAAGTCGGAGGAGATTATTATTTGCTGTTATAGTGTTTAAAACAAACAAAGAAAACAAGCTGCTTGTTGTAGCAATCAGGGTAGTTTAAGTTGCATAGGCATGTAACAGGATGAAACACAAATCCTAACATTAACTTCCCTATAAGATGGTATGAGGTCTCTGTCCTCCTTCTCTCTTCCCTTTCTCTCTAACCTGCTCTCAAGCACACGCATGTGGGCACACACACAAAAACAACTGACTTCCCGTATGTTCCAAGAAGCTGACTTATGACAGAGCCGCGACCCGCAGGTTGCTGAGCGACCGAGACAGATTTGATCATCATATCTCAGCAAACGGAAACAAAGTGGAGGATGTCTGAGTCAACCGGAAACAGCTAATGTGATGAATCATGGATTCGGACAGCTAGTGCTAACAGCACTGCACAGTCCAAAAATCAGTGACTTTCCAAATGCACTTTGGCTATAGAGTGAAGGTGACAGGAGCTTTTATTTTGATATGTCTTGCCTCTGTGATGCAGAAGGCAATAAAATAGATGCAACAGTGCAGAGCAAAGTCCAATGGTGATATTATTTGTTTGTTTTATATTGTTGTAACATCAGTCTCATAAAGATCTTTAAAAAGATTGTGCTGTATAAAACTGGTTTTATTCATTTATTTATTTTTTCTAGGATGTAAACCAGAAGCACATTAAAGTTTTTTTTTAAAACCTGTTATAGCTATTAGACCCAAGCCTGTGTGAAAACTCGTGACTTGAGTAAATATATTACTCATTATATCTGCTATTCTGTTTGGGCGTTTGTGGTATTAGTGCAATCAGTTGCTACACTTTCACTGTTGCAGCTACTGAATATAAATTTTTGAGAAGGAAGTAAAAACAAAAGGAACTGTGTTTGACTTTAAGCTAGATAAGATTGTTTAATTAAGAGGCAGGTGGTTTGTTTATTAAGGCAGTGGCAGCAAATGTCACTTGTGACTGCACTTAATAAAATTAAACTGGCAGCTGATAGTGAGGACCAGGTGGCCAGGATTAATTGGTGTGCTAGCCAGAACTGGTGCCAGTAATTTTTCTGTCAGGTGTCAACCCTGCTCGCAAGATGCCATCTCTTGTAGTCTCAGTGTATCCAGCAAGAGAAGCGAAGGGTGCTCCTGATTATTTAGATATTACCATTATGTGCATCTGTTTTTGCAGGTGGAGCAGGTGCGGCTGTTGGATCGCTTCAGCAACAAATCCGTTCATGGCACTCTGTACCTCACAGCCACGCATCTCATCTTTGTGGAGAGCAACTCTAACAACTCGGCCTCTGCTGGACAGGAGGTCTGGGTGAGTAGTTTTGTGCCAACTATGCTGCCCGTTAATGCAGGTTTCAGAGTGCTTGCATATGGATGTCACCTCTGCGAATACACTGTTGTGCAGAGGCATAACTGGAGGATAGCAAGTGCTCACAGAACTTTTACCTCCTGTTGCCAGT